CTCATGCCTGTAATCCCAACACTTTGGGAGGCAGAGGTGGGTGGATCACCTAAGGTCAGGGGTTCAAGACCAGCCTGACCAACATGGTGAAACCCCATCTCTACTAAAAATACAAAATTAGCTGGGCGTGGTGGCACATGCCTGTCATCCAGCTACTCAGGAGGCTGAGGCAGGACAATCGCTTGAATGCAGCAGGCAGAGGTTGCAGTGAGCCAAGATCGCACCATTGCATTCCAGCCTGGGCAACAAAAGCAAAACTCCATCTCAAAAAATAAAAAATAAAAATAAGTTTATGTAATAATGGGTGACGATACTGTTAGGAATAAATATTGAAAAGTTTGAAGTATAACTTTTTATTGTATTTTAAAATATTTTAAAGCCAATTTTGAATTACTAAATCATTTTTCTCATTAGGGGGCTCGAATGGTTCGTGAGCTCTTTGAAATGGCCAGAACAAAAAAAGCCTGCCTGATCTTCTTTGATGAAATCGATGCTATTGGAGGTGAGAATGATATGTTAGAGACCTGCTTTAGGATTCGGTTTCATGAAAACTCTAAAGTGATATGTGTTACAGTTCTGATCTGTTAATCTTGTACAGATTTTTAACTCCAACTCTCCTGTGAGCTCTGAAACATTGGCACCACAGATCTAATAAATCTAGTAAACTAAACTATAAAGGCAAGAAGAAACATTATATACCATTGCCATTTCTCAAAGCCTTTATTTTTGTGCTATGGATTGAATATCTGCTAGCTGAAATGTTTGAGAATAGAAGTGTTTTGGAATTTAGATATTTTCGATTTTGGCTTTTCAAGTATTTGCAGTATACTGGTTGAGTATCCCAAATCTGAAAACCTGAAATCTAAAATGCTCCAATGAGTATTACCTTTGAGTATGTTGTTGCTCAAAGTTTCAAATTTTGAAGCATTTTGGATTTGGGGATGTTCAACCTGTATCTGATTTCATTCACACAACACCTATTTCCACACTTTAAACAACTCCTAAATTGAGAAGTATCATCTCCTAATGTCATAAGAAAGCACTGGGGCATAATTTAATTGGTGGTGGTTTTTCTCAGTGCACTTAAAATAATGTTCTTGGCTTCACAGATTTGATGAGATACAATATTAGCCATGAAATCTAGAGAAGTTTATTTTTTTGAGACACAGTCTCACTCTGTTGCTCAGGCTGGAGTTGAGTGGTACCATCTCAGCTCACTGCAACCTCTGCCTCCTGGTTCAAGCGATTCTTTGTCTCAGCCTCCTGAGTAACTGGGATTATAGGTGCCTGCTGTCACGCCTGCCAGTTTTTGTATTTTAGTAGAGATGGGTTTCACCATGTTGGCCCAGGCTGGTCTTAAACTCCTGAGGACAAGTTATTTTAACTTATCTCTGAGCCTCAGTTTGCTCATCTTATAAAGGACATAATTCTTGCCTTGTGTATTTCATGAGTTTTTGAGAGGTTCAAATTAAGTATAAATGTGGTAGACTTTGAAAACACTCAACTGTCTCATAGGCAATTTAAAGTATGTTAAGTAAATCTGTGATAAATACTTTTGAAAGCAAAGATTCACTTTCTAATTAGTTTTGTATAAAGCAGGCTCTTACAGGATTTGCTTCAAAGTGGGATGTGCACTTGTGCCAGGGGGTCATGATTTGAGTTGAGATTTATGGTACTTTCAGGTCATGCATAGTGTTACTCTGAGTGGACCTGAAAAGCTTATCTTTCCTTTTGTCTTCTCAGGGGCTCGGTTTGATGATGGTGCTGGAGGTGACAATGAAGTGCAGAGAACAATGTTGGAACTGATCAATCAGCTTGATGGTTTTGATCCTCGAGGCAATATTAAAGTGCTGATGGCCACTAACAGACCTGATACTTTGGATCCAGCACTGATGAGGCCAGGGAGATTGGATAGAAAAATTGAATTTAGCTTGCCTGATCTAGAGGTAACAAAACCATTTCATTTTAGGAAAGGGATTTTTGAAGTTTTTTCTTGCTGTGATGTTTTTTCCATTTTAATATTTGTCAATTCCCTCATTTCTAGGGTCGGACCCACATCTTTAAGATTCACGCTCGTTCAATGAGTGTTGAAAGAGATATCAGATTTGAATTGTTAGCACGACTGTGTCCAAATAGCACTGGTAAGTAGAAAGTTCTTGCTTATATTTGCTGGTCTGTCTGCTCAGGCTGTTTTAATTAAGCCTGTTTATTCTCTTTTTGTGTGAAAGGTGCTGAGATTAGAAGTGTCTGCACAGAAGCTGGTATGTTTGCCATCAGAGCACGGCGAAAAATTGCTACTGAGAAGGATTTCTTGGAAGCTGTAAATAAGGTCATTAAGTCTTATGCCAAATTCAGCGCTACTCCTCGTTACATGACATACAACTGAACCTTGAAGGCTTTCAAGTGAAAACTTTTAATTGGAATCCTAACCGTATATAGGCTTGTTAACCACTTCACACAAAAAAATAAATGGCTTCAAGATTGTATGTTTTCATATCTCTTCTTATAATAATAGAATAAAAGGTGATCTCTAATGTTATTAGACAGAAAAGCTTATTAGAATATATTTTGACTGTTTCTTTTGACCCACTCCTATTTAAGGGTTTCACATCATATAAAGTGCTTGCTTAGATGGTTTATATCCTAGGTATACGCTGGCTGGGTCCTCTACATATATTCTTTTTGTATCCTCCCATCTGTCCAGTGAGGAAGATCATCAAATGGAGCTTCCTTTAATGGATGCAAAAACTTTCCTGCTTACTTGTAGTGGCAAAACTGGGATTCATGTCCAAGTTTGTCAGCTCCATTTCCTATGTTCCCATTATCCTCTTCTGCTCCTTATCAGGGTAGCTCACCTAGGCATACGACCAAATGCCTTATGATAGTCTCCTACCACCATGCTGAATAATAAAAGCTTTGTCTAAACCTTTTTTAAACTAGAAGAAACACTGGATGTGTATGTTATGTGTTGCCATTTGATTTCAGATTAATCAGGAATAATTTGTGAATTTTAATGAACAGTAAAGTGGTGCAATAAAGCAGAATAACATTCAGCCAGAGGTGAAAGAGCAGGAAAAAGAAAAAAAATTTTTTGAAAAAAAAGTATGTACATATGATGTAATTCAGAAAATCTGGAATTGGCTTCATACAGAAAATGATTACTTTCATTTTATAAATTAGTTTGGTAAAGCTTCTGTTAGACTTCTGGTCTACAGTGAGGTATTTAAAAAATAAAGATTATATTAAAATCCTCAACAGAGCTCTTTAAAATTGTCTTCTGTGTAACCAACACCAAATCCTATCTTCTACCACAGTTACCCTTTCCCTCAATGCCAAGACCAAAGCACAATAATGAATATTTTTATTGAAGTTCAGTATTCATAAATAAGTTGCAAAATAGTGAGAATTGGATACATTTTAAATTCACAATAGAAAAAGCTGACAACATAGAAAATGTTGTATTGCATTGAAATACTTAAAATTATGAAAATTTTCAAGAAATTAAAGCCCTTTATTCATAAAATCCAATCACATTCATTCTTGACTTTTCATTTTTATGAATGTGATCAGAAAAACTCATCTTTTTTTTTTTTTTTTTTTAACTCTCCCCCAGTCTTTCTTGAGGTATGAAACAGCAAACTATTTTCAGGTTATGCTTACAATAAAATATAATCAAGGAAATGACTGAAGATGTTTTTGAATGTTTTGATTAAATAAATCTACACATTTAGAACACACTGAAGTCCTTCCACTTTGTCATATGGCCACATGCTCATATATACCAATTAAAGACAAATTAGATACGCTGAGTGCACTTTTTTTTTTTTTTTTTTGGAGATGGAGTCTTGCTCTGTCACCCAGGCTGGAATGCAGTGGTTCGATTTCAGCTCACTGCAACCTCCGCCTCCCAGGTTCAAGCAGTTCTCTGCCTCAGCCTCTCGAGTAGGGATTATAGGCGCATGCCACCACACCTAGCTAATTTTTGTATTATCAGTAAAGACCAGGTTTCACCATCTTAGCTAGGCTGGTCTTCAAATCCTGACCTTGTGATCCACCCACCTCAGCCTCCCAAAGTGCTGGGATTACAGGTGTGAGCCACCGCGCCCTGCTAAATGCACTTTGTTCTAAGATACAGAGTGACTATTGTGATAATTCATTTAGGTCCATAAGGAAAATCTAACTGGCCACACATCAAATGTAAAATCAATTACTTGAAAAATTTGGGTGTTTCTGTCAAGGCATATATACACAGGTAGCATCCACATTGCCTAGGTCATCATGTTTGTACCCTACTTAAAAAGACAGAACATGTACCAGTAAATTCCTCCACCTAAAATAGGTGTGCTATATACATGTGTCAGAGTGCTGAATAAGTTAGAATACAAAGGTTTTCTAACTTTAGGAAAATATACTGTAGAATCCTGTGTAAAAACATTAAAAATGTGATTAGATTTATTTAAAAACTCAGTTTTCATGATGGTCTGAGGTTTATCTGTTATGTCAAGTGAAATACATCAGTACAATGAAAAGCCTGGTAAGCCTTTGTCAGAGGCCAGGTGGAGTTTTATGATGCTCAAACTTGATAAAATCCAAGTCACTAAGCAGGCATGTTACCTGGTGTGGTGCTAGCTTTTACCATTGTGTTGTTGGTATTGGAGGGGCTACAAAACCACTGCATGCATTTTGGTTAGCTGTATGTTCGGTAATACTTTTATCAGTTCTCACTTTTATGAGCATTCAAAACTGTAAGAATCTAAACACCTTGAATCCTAAAAGCACTCCTGAAAGGTGAGGTGCACTAAAAAGGACCAACAGCATTTCTGCATTCAGTAAAGCATACAGGCTCACACCAAGGAAGTTCTGTTTGATTTTAGAATTTAAATTGATTTACTGTCTTTAAAGGGGCAGACATAAGAGAGCCACATACTATTCCCTCCTTCATCCCCACACAAGGGCACACCCCCCATCCCCCAACACACAGAAAAACCCACCCACCCACCACAGGACAGATTCACTGGGTTTGCTACCCTCTCTTTTCACACACAAGAGGGCAGACTCATTTTCTCAAGTGCACTCAGAGGCTGGGACTGTCTCAACAAGTAAGGGCACAGAATCAAACCACCATGAGTGGATGTTTTAGATGTTTCCTGCAAACTACAAAATGAGTTTTTGTCCTATTCCAAGGCTTGAAGACAATCCATACCTTTAACAGGCTCTCTGGGTTCCACTGCAGCTGAGATTGGCAATTAGGATCCTATCATCAGCTGCCGTATACGCATCCAGAGTCAGTGTCTAAGATACGGATTGGAGTTTCCTAGGCCCTGGTTCACAACTGTTCTCAATCATATTCCATCGATTCATGAGACAGAGATCAACCACTGTCATACTGCACAGGATATGAGAAAGTCAAAGGACTTCTCTTTGTGAAACCTCTTCGAAACAGTGCTTTCCCATATATTGCCATAAAACAAGGCTAGTCCTTAGATTATGGAGATTATGCCCATTTTGATAGGATAATATGAACCTGAATTTGAATCAGGGCTGAAAAACATAGAAGATAACAGTAGCAGCTATTAAGGCCCAGAAGGAACATATATCATATATATTATTTCCTTGAAAGACAGAGACAAGACTGTAAGACAAGGAAATTTTCACTGTATGAAACAATTCTAAGTAAAACATTCTGACGTATTTACACATGGATGAAATGTATTTTGAGATGCACTCATTTGCAGATGCTAAGCAAAATGATAAAACTGTATTTTCCCACCTTAAGACTTATGCTTTTAATATACATAATTCTATTCAAAACAGTTTAAAAGTTAAACAGAAAAGTTAAATACAAATGTGAAGTTATACACAAATACTTTTTGTACACGACTTTCTATCAACCACAGTATTGGCTAACTGGAAGACTGGTGCTAAGGAATGTGTAATGAAGTATTTTATAACACCGTTTAAAATCCTTAAATTCTACTTAAATGGCTGAAATGATATAGAAACTTGTTACCAAAGTTTCTAACGTAAGCTGAAGTTCTACAACTACATGCTCTTTCAGAAGGCAGTCCATATCAGAATGCAGATGTATCTGATCTCATGTGATGATTAAAAAGAAAATAACTAAGCAAATCTAATTTTACTCAAGAATTAGCTAAAGTTTTGACTAGAAGGAGAAGTTTATTTTGAACTTAGTAAAGACAGTGAGAAACTTAATAGGAGTTATCATGAACACAGGAACACCACAGGGTTTGGTTGCAACTAAGCCATGCTAACAGCTCTACTGGGATCTGACTGCTTTTCTCCTGGCAGTATCTTATTCATGAAAACTAAAACAAGACATCAATAAGACGATATATTAAAGAAAAGACAAACTCACGGTTAGCAGGAACTCTTAGCAGAGGAGGCTTTAGACAGGTTGGCTAAGGTCTGTGCTTCGATTTATAGTGAGCTGGTAGTTACAAACAAGTGAAAGTGATAAACTGATTTAAAGGTATCCTCCTCCAACCTTTGACATTACACGTTTCTATGGAACGAGTAAGGTAAGCATTTTGCTCACTCCTATGCTAAAAATTGGGTTTGATGTATAATTAACTGATAGCTGTTACAAATGTCTAAGGAAAATTTAAATTATAACTGGGGGTTAGTTTTAGTTTTCTTAAAAACATGGTCTTTTAGGCTACTTCACTATTAGCAACAATAACAAAGCTTCTAAGGATTTCTACTGGCCACAGCTGTGACAATTTGAGTATGGAAAAGAACATAATGGACTGAAACACATTAAAACTATAAAAATGCACAAGACTACCATCATACCAGAAAAGGGAAAGCTAAAAAAGAACCCCACTAATTTTCACCATCTAATAAACCAGTTATTTACTTTGAAGTTCATAATTAAATGAAAATAATAAAGCATTCAACCTGCCCTTCCAGTGGAACTGTAGTAAGGATGACCAAATAGCTCAAGTGGAGGAGGGAAAGCTATACTTCACATAGAACAACCAACTAATGCAGAAGAAATGAAATAACTAGAAAACCAATTCACAAACCTTAACAAAATTAATGATTTATGCAAGAATTATCACCCAATGTTAAAACTCCTGGGTAAATGGCTAATAGGGGAATGGATATTCATTCAATGCCAAAGGAACACCACACAGATATGTCTGTAGTCACATAGGGAAAAATCTAACTGGAGGATCAGACTGTCATGCTGATCCAGTAATCTAGTTTAGATCGCTTAGGTTAGTTAACGGTAGATCAACTAGATATTATGTGTTTTCTGAAGTGATACAATATGAAGCATGTATCTTCTCTATGATATAATCTAGCATAAAATGTTTTAACTTGAATCTACAAAGGCTTTAGATATAACTTCCAGATTGGAGGTAGTACAGTATAAGAACAGGTTAAACACCATGAAAAAGCAATTAGGCAAACTCACAAGACAGGATTCTACAGGACAACTGCCCCAGTCTCTTTAACACGTCAATGCCATAAAAAAGGAACTGTGCTACATTAAAATAGACTTAAGGGACTTTAAAGAACATGATCAGTTGCAATGTAAGGTCAAAGAATGAATATCAGTTAGCAGAAACCAACTGCAAATTTGGGGACAACTGAGGAAATTTGAATATGGTCTAAGGTAAAAAATGTGCTAGAATGAGAAAGTGGAGATTATTAATTAAAGAACAATAGGTTACAAAACACTACAGATGTGACCTTACTTTGGTGAAAAATGTAAATATATATGCATAGAAAAAGATCTGGAAGGATATGTATTGAGACGTTAACAGTGGTAATCTCTGAGTGGTGGAAATGTAATATTTTATGTTCTCATTTTTGCTTGTCTATTTTTTCAAAATGTCCTCAATGCACTTATATTGCTTCTATAATGAATAAAAGGTTATTTTAAAACGAGAACTTCTAGAAAATTGCAGTTTCTCTCTTCTTTTAGATAACTGATTGTAGACAGTTCGCGGACCAACAAGTACAAAAACAAAGAACCACTACTTATCTGGTGACAGCATCTCCTATTCGTAGGTAAAGTACTTAAAGGAAATAAATTTCTCAGTGCTTAGCTTACAGAGATAATGCTAAAAAGTAGCAGAAATGTCTCTGCGTAATAAATACAGGCAACAGGCCAATTTATCTTTGAAATATTCAATCAAAAAAACACGAGTATGATACATCTTGCTAGGTGTCATTCACCCTCCAAATCAAGCCTCAGCTACTAGTATTTACCCTTAGAAAAAAAATCTAATGTCTAGTATTTAAAACGTGTAAATTAGGAATTTCATGACAGGCTTATAACCCCATTCTAGGGTGAGGTCCTCATCTATGCCTCAGGGGTGGCAGGAGTAGCATTGGGCTCCAAGTCCTCCTGTGGAGGAGGAGCTGAGGCTTCCTGTTCTGCGAGCGCTTCTCTGAGTTGGCTGCCTAAAACTGCGTCATGAATGCTGTGGAACAGCAGCTCCCACAGGGCAGGATTTTCAAAAAATCTATTCCGAGTGAGGTCATTCACAACTTGTGCTATTAAAAGAAGAAAAGAAAATTAGTCCACACTCTGGATATGAGTCTTAAACAATAAAAAAGCTAACACTTCCGTACAGTGTTTTTTGTTGTTGTTGTTTTGAGACAGAGTCTCACTCTGTCACCCAGACTGGAGTGCAGCGGCGTGATCTCGGCTCACTGCAACCTCCACCTCCTGGGTTCAAGCCCACATAGTTTGAATATTAAAATGCTATAGTAAAAGTCTCACTCCAATTCCTTCTCCACCCATCACACCTGCAAGTCCCAGGAAACTACTTTTTTGTGTGTTCTTCCAAGATTTCTCTATGTAAATATAAATAAATACCTGTATATATGTATTCTTATTTCCCATTTTTCTTATCCCCAAAACAGCATTTTAAAACTGCATTTGGGGATAAGAAAAGTGGGAATTACATATACATGATTTTGTGTGTGTGTGTGTGTGTGTGTGTATAACATGTTGTTTTGGGGATAAGTGGGAAAAATATATATATAAGATTCTGAACACTTTTTGATTAATTTTTTTACCACTACATTATATTCTATTGTACAGCTGTACCTGGTTTATTAAACTAGTCCCTTTTGTTTGGTACTCAAGTTTTTTCTTTTGTTGTTATAGACAATGCTGGTCATTTTGAACATATGCAGCATATTGCTGGATTTTCTGTGTTAAAAGGTAAATGCATTTATAATTTGGAAAGGCAATGTGAGTCTGCCCTTCTTAGGGGCTGCTGCATTTTGTGCTCCCACCAGTAATGTTTGAGAGAGCCTGTGTCCCACCATATGCCTATGGAGCATGTTGTCAATCATTTTTTATTTTTGCCAATCTTACAGTTGAAAAGTGGCATCTTTATGCAGAGTTCATTTTCTTTTTTTTTTTTTTGAGACGGAGTTTTGCTCTTGTTACCCAGGCTGGAGTGCAATGGCGCGATCTCGGCTCACCGCAACCTCCGCCTCCTGGGTTCAGGCAATTCTCCTGCCTCAGCCTCCTGAGTAGCTGGGATTACAGGCACACGCCACCATGCCCAGCTAATTTTTTGTAGTTTTAGTAGAGACGGGGTTTCACCATGTTGACCAGGATGGTCTCGATCTCTTGACCTCGTGATCCACCCACCTCGGCCTCCCAAAGTGCTGGGATTACAAGCGTGAGCCACCGCGCCCGGCCGCAGAGTTCATTTTCAAGCACTATTTTTAATCATTAAAGTTTTTTTTATTAATAGAGATGGGGTCTCACTATGCTCAGGCTGGTCTTGAACTCCTAGGCTCAAGTGATCGTTTCACCTTGGCCTCCCCAAGTGTCGGGATTATAGGTGTAAGCCACCACACCCAGCCTCAAGCACTGTTGTACTTTCTTTCTTTTTTTTTTTTTTTGAAACCGGGTCTCATTCTGTTGCCCAGGCTGGAGTATAGTGGCATGATGTCGGCTCACTGCAACCTCTGCCTCCCGATTCAAGTCATCCTCCCACCTCAACCTCCTGAGTAGCTGGGATTACAGGTGTGTGCCACAATGCCTGGCTAATTTTTGTATTTTTATTTTATTTATTTATTTTTTGAGACAGAGTTTCACTCTTGTTGCCCAGGTTGGAGATGGTGTGATCTGAGCTCACTGCAACCTCCAGCTCCCAGGTTCAAGCGATTCTCCTGCCTCAGCCTCCTGAGTAGCTGGGGTTACAGACATGTGCCACCATGTCTGGCTGATTTTGTATTTTCAGTAGAGATGGAGTTTCTCTATGTTGGTCAGGCTGGTCTCAAACTTCTGACCTCAGGTGATGCACCTGCCTCTGCCTCCCAAAGTGCTGGGATTACAGGCTTTAGCCACTGGGCCCAGCCTTAATTTTTGTATTTTTAATAGAGATGGGGTTTTGCTATGTTGCCCAGGCTGGTCTCAAACTCCTAGGCTAAGGAAATCTACCTGCCTTGGTCTCCCAAAGTACTGGGATTACAGGCATGAACCACCATGCCCAGCCTCAAGCACTGTTTTAACCAAAATATAATATAAAACAAAAATAGCAGGCCAAGTATTCCCACACCATTGGACCGAGAAACAAGCAACCTGAATGATTATATGTAAATGTTTATGGCAGCCATGAGATAATTGCTGCTGTAGGAATGTAGATAATAATTACTATATGTATAGCAGCCATTAGTATTATAATAAACAATGGCTTATTGGCTCCTTTCCTCCAACTCCAGTTCAGTAGGGTTGTCACAAGTAACTTGTAAAATGAATGCCTCCATGAGGCTAATTTCAAAGCTCATTTTAGAGTGATTTTTCAGAAGAATAATTTTCATTTTTATAAAATAATTAAAATTAAGGACAAAATTTCCAAGTGCAATTATTTAAAAAAAGAAACAAACTAAAATATTAAGCCTCACCTCATCTTAGAGGTATACTCACCACTGCATCCTGCTAAATATACATATATACCAACGTCTCCATATTCTTTTACAATCTGTAATAATGTTGAAAAAAAGTTTAGTTTCTCTTGACTCTATGCCAGATGAGAGTATCTTTTTACCAATGTTTTTCAGTGATAGAAGACCCTCTAATTCATTCACTTGTGCTACTTTGCTTCAATAATGATGTATTTTTGAGCTAATCAGTTAAAAATAATTTTGTATTTCTTTTGCTTTGTATATGGACAGTGATAATTACGGGTAGCAAAAATACTGTTAAATTTTACTTAGGTATAATAAAAGTATTATAGTAATTTAAAAAATTATAATTTTAAAATTAAAAACCAGCTTTTTTTTTAGACAGGGTCTCACTACTTTACTCATGCTGATCTTGAACTCCTGAGCCCAGCAATCCTCCTGCCTCAGCCTCCTGAGTAGTCCAGCATATTACAGTAATGTTTTCTAAAAAGAATCTTCCTGTAGCAATAGACAATATTTACAGATGATGTGATGACTGGGATGTGTTTCAAAATAAGAGAAGAGAAAGTGGATGTCAGCTATACAAGAAACCAGATTGACCATAAACTGATAATTGTTGAAACTGAGTGATAGTTCATATACTAAAATCTTTACTTCTATGTATTTTTGAAATTTTCTATAATCAAAAGGTGATAAACAGCAACAGGAGATAATTTTAAGAGTTGAATAGCCCACCTCCCTGATTTTGTTGAGGGTCTGATACTGGGCACCGAGGTGTTAAAAGACTTGTTCAAGGGGATGCTTACCCCTGCCACAGTTTTCACTCCAACAGAATCAATAAAATTGACTTGAGTGAAATCCAAAATCACAGTGTGGATGTTATCCCCCGGGGGCATAAATCTTTGCATTTCCTCAGGAAATGTGCTTTTGATCACTATTGGGGGATATTTTATTTCACCATCCTCTTCTTCAGGCTTGGTAGCATCTTCTCCATCTACTTCTGCATCCTGTGTCAAAAATTAAACCAAACCAGAATTCTATGAACTCACATTTCTGGTCGTGAGAAAGATTTATAATGGAAAATCCACCCTTGTATTCTTGAGCTACCGACTATACCAGACTCCTTCTAAAATATTTGTCAAGCTGTGTGTGGTGGCTCGTGCCTGTAATACCAGCACTTTGGGAGGCCAAGGTGGGTGGATCATAAGGTCAGGAGTCCGAGATCAGCCTTGCCAACTCAGTGAAACCCCATTTCTACTAAAAATGCAAAAATTAGCTGGGCATGGTGGCGGGTACCTCTAGTTCCAGCTACTCAGGAGGCTGAGGCAAGAGTATGGCTTGAACCCAGGAGGAGGAGGCTGTAGTGAGCCAAGATCGTCCCACTGCACTCCAGCCTGGGCAATAGAGTGAGACTCCATCTTAAAAAAATTTTGTCACATTCCAGCATTATAACTGAGCAAAAAAAGGATGTATGTGTAACATTCCATTTTAACTCAATTTCTTTTTTTTTTTTTTTTTTGAGATGGAGTTTCGCTCTTATTACCCAGGCTGAAGTGCAATGGCGCAATCTCGGCTCACCGCAACCTCCGCCTCCTGGGTTCAGGCAATTCTCCTGCCTCAGCCTCCTGAGTAGCTGGGATTACAGGCACGCACCACCATGCCCAGCTAATGTTTTGTATTTTTAGTAAAGACAGGGTTTCACCATGTTGACCAGGATGGTCTCGATCTCTTGACCTCGTGATCCACCCGCCTCGGCCTCCCAAAGTGCTGGGATTACAGGCTTGAGCCACCGCGCCCGGCCTGAACTCAATTTCTTATCTCTTTCTCCTTCTTTTTTTTTTTTTTCTGCTAACTTCTAAAGTAGTTCCATTAACTTTAGTATGATGGGTCACAAGTTACCATGCCTGAACAGCAAAAGCCCGCCTTTGAACTTTTTAAACTATCAGCTGAATAAATCTACGAAAAAGTGTTAATGCTAAAATCTGTTAAGGTACTGTGTCATTCTTATTTATTTACTTATTTTGAGACGGAGTTTCGTTCTTGCTGCTCAGGCTGGAGCGCAACGGCGCCATCTAGGCTAAATGCAACCTCCGCCTCCCGGGTTCAAGCGATTCTCCTGCCTCAGGCTCCCAAGTCACTTGAATTACAGGCATGCTCCACCATGCCCAGCTAATTTTGCATTTTTGGTAGAGACGGGGTTTCCCCGTGTTGGTCAGGCTGGCCTCGAACGCCCGACCTAGGGTGAGCCACCCGCCTCAGCCTCCCAAAGTGCTGGATTACAGGCGTGAGCCACCGCACCCAGGCATTTTTTATTTTTTAAAATGATGTTTTCCTTTCTTTTTTCAGAAACGTCCTCATAACTGACCTTATCAGGTGCCTGTAAAATATAGAGGATACTTAGATGGTTTCTTAACTTTCCTCTTTTAGTAACTTCATGCTGTGTTTAAACTTCAGTCATGAGTAAAGATGGAGGGCACTGCAGAACAAGACAGAAGGGAACATTTCAACGAAAAGACCACTCACCGCTTTGACAACAGTTGCGTTGGCCATATTTGCATTTCCGACTTCCTTAGCGTACTTCCGCATCGCCTTTCTCCTTGCTCCCATGATGAGTGCTGGGTTCACTCCAGTCTTTACAGAAGAGCAACATATGCAAAATCACTTCTTGGCTCTCAGAGACCCACCCCAATGCCACTTCCCTTCAAATTTCCCCATTTAACTGCTTTCTGTGTCATGTTACCACCCCAGCCCTTGTGCTGCCTTTCCCTCAGATGCCCTGAACTGGTTATTCCTTCAAATTAGTAGCCTTTCTTATTCTCAGTCTTTATTTAAGACAACCAGAGTTAAAGAATTAAAGAGAATTTTTAGAGCACTCTTTCTCAGGCTCAGATCTCTCAGGTTCTTATATTTAAGAGACTCTGTGTGGTGATAGGAAGGTTTTCCTATATACCAGGTGGTGTAGGGTTGAGTTCTAATCATGACCAGAGGAATCTACATGATCCCAAGAGTAAGAAACCTAAAATTATTTTCTCATTTTTTTCTTAAAATGTTTTTGGAAAAAGTAATATATACAAACGATAAAAGAGAATGAACAATGGTAATGGCTGCACAATCATGCATATGTACTTAATGCCACCCACTGGATTATATATTTTAAAAATGCTTAAAATAGTACATTTTATGTTATGTATATTTTGCTACAATAAAAGAGAGAGAAACAAAGCAAGAATGAAATAGTATACAAGGGTATACTTGGACACTTAAATGATCCTCATATCCCTGTCAACCACAAATCCCATCCTCAGAAATAATCAGTTTCTCATGACTCACCTTTCGTTTTAATGCATTGCTATACAAGTCACTATTTGCATAGTAAATTGGTGCATTTATTTGAAATATTTTTATTCCAGGGATTTCTTTGACCTGAAGAGTAAAATATTGCTGAATTTAACACATGGAAATATTTCAGAATCAAAACTGCATTGCCTTCCTGCTCCAAATAGAAAATGAATGCAGAAGTTGCTAAGGTTCCTTTTCAGGGCTTAGGTAAAATGATGGTCACTCTAGCACACGCAGACCACCCCCTCAAAAAAAAAAAAAAAGATAAAAAAAGATTTTAAAAAGTCACTCTTATCTACTCATGCTCTAAAAGAAAGAGAACTGACGAGATCTTTTAAAAATGCACATCCTTCCATTTTTAAAAATTAATTAATTAATTATTTTAAAGACGGGTTTTCACCATGTTGGTCAGGTTGGTCTTGAACTCCCGACCTCAGGTGATCCGCCCACCTTGGCCTCCAAAATGCTTGGATTACAGGCGTGAGCCACCGCGCCCAGCCATCCATTTGTTTTAAAAGTCAGTCATTGTCACACGGTGGTTCACGCCTGTAATCCCAGCACTTTGGGAGGCCGAGGTGGGCGGATCACCTGAGGTCAGGAGTTCGAGACCAGCCTGGCCAATATGGTGAAACCCCATCTTTAAAAATAAATAAATTAATTAAATAAAATAAAATTTTAAAAAGTCAGTCATTGTTTTATTTTTACCATTAAACACATAGAAGAAACTGAAAAATACCCAAAACAGAAAAGAAAATGGACAGGAGATGGAAGGCTGCTGGCCAGACTGGGAGAGGCAGACAAGTAAAGTGAACAGAGGTTTACAGTGCTTTGATTCACCAGAAGCAAGAAGGAGCCTAAATGGACACAAGTGAAAATGAGCGAATATTTCATCAAGAAGCCTCATGGAACTCTGGGATGCAGGCTGGAAACAAGTAATACTACATATATAATTCTTTGGACTGAGGAAAAAATAGCAATTCTAACACCTTTACCTTAGAGTAAATTTTGTTTTCTCATTTCTTAATACCTTAGAGTAGGTCTGAGAATTTCTTCCCAAGCATAAGACAAGACAGACAGACAAAACTAGTTTTAAAAGATTTTAAAAAATCTTTGAGATTCCATAGAAAGAAAGAACATTCAAAATTAAGGAAACTCTGAAGCCATAATTTTAACCATTAAAATGAACTGGGAGAATTCCACAGGCCCACCATCTACATTTTACATGGTTAAAATTATTTTACCATTGGTTTACATTCATTAGAAAAAAACCATGCACACACAAACCATCCTCTCGGTTTCAATACTGTATAAATACATGCTTTAATTCCAACAATATATATTTATCCCCATTAAAAAATGAGAAAAAATAAATATTGGAAATTGAGTAGTTAATACATAAATTATAAAACCGAATCCATACAGTAGATCAAATCTCAGACTTTTCACTTTGACCACTATACCTCCCCGCCTTATCTCTACTTTTTGTCCTGGTAAAAACAGTACTTAGCCAAGCACACCACATGCTCACAACCTTTTTTAGATGACAGAAAAATGTCCTACCTCCTCATATGCGTCTATATCAATATACACATCAGTGTCAGGAAGCTGTCCAAGGACTTTGTAGCTCGGACTGAAGATAGAGAGTGTTAAATACCATTGTGTTGTGGCGCAGTGTGTGATTTCAACAGAAGGTTATGTATGTTTATGTCATGCTGGGATTTGCTAGTGCATTCGGGAATACTTGATCCTCACATGGTGTCTTTACAGAAGGGCTCTACACATATCATGTTCCCAGTGCCATTCCAAGCACAACACACACACACCACATGCCACACACACACACACACACAATATGCACACACCATGTACACCTCATACTACACACACATACCCCCCACAGTACCCACCTCATGCACCACACACACACAATACATACACCTACACATAATGCATACATACTACACACACATATACACACACTACAGATACAGAATACACACATATTACACTATATACCACACATATACATATTCACATGCATACATACCACACGTATAATACACAATACATATCCCCTACATACACACAATGTATATACACCATACATACCTCATATCACACACAATATACACACACATTATACTTCATACCACACATATACCCATCATACACACCACATATATGCTACACAATGCACACCACCGACACACATATCCACTGTGCACATACATATCACACATACACAGTACACACATACCATGTACATGCACCTCCACACACATACACAATAAACACATTTACAAATGTATACACACCCCACATACCACACACATACACAATACATACATCTATACATAATGCATGCACACCACACTCAAATATAAACACAATATACACACACATCACCCCACATCACACACATACATATACACAGTGTATACACACCCTACACATCCCACACACATACACAATACAAATAACTACACACAATGCATATACACCACACACAAATACACAAAATATACACACACCATGCATACACAATATACACGTCATATACTATGCATATACATCCACACATGCATACACAGCACACATACATGCCACACACAATACCATACACAATACACACATACACCGCACACCACACACACCCCTACAAACATATACACACACATACACATGCATATATACCACACATGCAATACACAATACACATACCACACACATGCATACACACACTACACAATATACACACATGCCACACACAATAACATACACAATACATACACCACCTACCCCTCATACCATACACAACCACATATACACATACAAACATGCATACACAACCTTTATGCAAGACACAATACACACATCATGCACACATGCATACACACCACACACATATATAATATACATACGTATACATCACACACATATACATACATCACATACACCTCACACACACACACACACATCACACATCCCTCACACCACACACACCATGCACATCACACAATCTACACCTCCCTTCCCCCCACACACCATATCACAAACACAATCTGGTCAGGACAAAAGACTCAGGTATTTAGAGGTGGGGACAACACTGAATTTTGCAGAGTTCAAGTTATGCCAGGGATATGTGTAACACAAGTTCTCCTCATGCCAGTCAATAGACAGAACATCTTTCTGCTCTAACTCCAAAGTAGGAGAGGGAATTTTTGTTTGTTATTAGCAAGAATCACTGATTCACGATAGCGGAGTAGTCAATTGAAGGCATGGGGAGAAAATGAAAATTTCAAATTAGCACAGAAGTTCTCTTAATTTAGTTTGAATAGATTTTAAACACTATTTTTTGAGAGCCCTAATTCCTAACTTTTTTTTTTTTTTTTGAGGCAGAGTCTTATTCTGTTGCCCAGGCTGGAGTATAATGGTACAATCTTGGCTCACTGCAACCTCCACCTCCCGGATTCAAGCGATTCTCCTGCCTCAGCCTCCCGAGTAGTTGGCATTACAGGTGTGTGCCACCACACTCAGCTAATTTTTGTATTTTTAATACAGACAGGGTTTCACCATGTTGGCCAGGCTGGTCTTGAACTCCTGACCTCAAGTCATCTGCCCACCTCGGCCTACCAAAGTGCTGGGATTACAGACAGGCGTAAGCCACCATGCCCGGCCCCTAATTCCTATTTCTTTTTTAGGACCATCTGGCTCAAATTAGATACTGTACTAATGGCAGATACTACTTCTTGAATACCTGTTATTAACTTATTATATCATTTGAACAATGCTACTGGGCACTATTAATAATTAACATTATAATACTAGTTAATATTAACAATCCTGCCATCATGTAGATGAGAAATTGAGGCTCCGTGGGGTTAGGTGAATTGTTCAAGGTCAGAAAGCTTGGCAGAGCCAGAATATAGCTCAAGGTCTTTGATTTGACATTCCACAGTCTTGCTACTATGCCCTGGTGCTTCTTAGTATAAATGTGAAAGTGCTTTGTAAATGAGAATATATCATACAAGTGTTAACTGTTTTGCTGGGTAGATCCCTCCATAAACATTCAGAGAACACAGATGATGGGCCTGGTACTAGACTCTAGGAACATCACTTCTACAAATAAGATGCTCACAGTCTCGTGATATCTGTGGACAAATATGGTACTGAGGACTGATATTGCAGAGAAGAGCCAAGGCTCTCAGCTGATTTCACAATTATGAGAAAACACGCATAAGACATGGTCAGACAAGGTGGCAGTGAGCTGTGATCGTGCAACTGCACTCCAGCCCATATGGCAAAGTGAAACTCTGTCTCTAAAAATACTAAAATAAAAAATAATTTTTTTTGGTAGAAGCAGGGTTTCACTATGTTGTCTGGGCTGGTCTCAAACTCCTGGCCTCAAGCAGTCTTCCTGCCTTGGCCTCCCAAAGTGCTGGAATTATAGGCATAAGATAAGCCACTGTGTCTGGCCTACATTCTAATTTTTAAAAGACAGATTTTAAATGCTGATTGAGTCAGCTTCTGGATTTGCAAAAACTCACATCTGAGTCATTGTCCCACCACTTAATGTGATCTTGTGTAAGTTACCCCAGCATTCTGGCTTCGGCATCCACATCTGTGAAACGGGGTGGCTGATTGTTACTGGGTTTTAAGAAGAAATGACATAAAGCATTGATCTTTGCACAGAGCCAGACACATAAGTAATTATAATAATTAGTGCCACCATTACTTCATTGTCCTTATTAACACCATCATCATGATTACGTGTCTGTCATCTTAGGAGAATGCAACCTTTGAAGGGAAGGACTATGCTATATATACTGCACTGTCCCTACAGTCTAGCATCTCCCTGGGAATATAATAGGTCCTCAACAAATATCTATTTAGTGAAATTATAATTTTTAAAATATATTTTATAATACTAATCAAGCTGTGAGTTTTGGGGGAGCAGAAGTGGAACCTGTTACATTTATAGCACTTGTAGTGCCTGAGTTCAGGAACTATCTGCTGAATGACATGACTGTCTATGCCTACTCTGAAGGAAAATGAGTGTTTTGAACAGCCAAACCCAATGCACCCCTGTCTGTCTCCAGAAGCGTGCCCTAATTACAGAAAAAGAAACCAGCTGAAAATAAACACATTCTCTGAGTGCTGATCTCCTAAACTCTAACATACAAAGACCCAGCAAAATAATCAACAAAGGATAGACCTTAAAAAAAAACCAACTTCAGTTAATTATTATTTGAGGAAGAAAGAGAAGTCAGTCTCCCTCCCTTCCTCCCTCCCTTCCTCCCTCCCTTCCCTCCTTTCTCTCTCTTTCTCTCTCTCTTTCTTTCTTTCTTTCTTTTTTTTGAGACAGGGTCTCATTCTGTCACCCAGGCTGGAGTGTAGTGGTGCCATCTGAGCTCACTGCAACCTCTGCCTCCCAGGCTCAAATGATCCTCCCGCCTCAGCCTCCCAACTAGCTCGGACCACAGGCGTGTACCACCATTCCCAGCTAATATTTTGTATTTTTGGTAGAGACTGATACCATGATAAATTCTTGTCATGAGTTTAGAATCCCACATATTCTTAACATTTTTCTGAACGTCATTTGTGATGATGAAAATGCTCATTTCCCACCCTCGAGGGTAGGGAGCATCCTGACATCCTGCAGATTAGGGGTCAACATCCTTATAAAGTGCCCTTTCAACACACCATAGTCACATCTTTAAGATTTCCTGTGATGTGCACCCCTAGGCAAAACCAGACTAGCTTCATTTTCATTTTCCTTTGTGTTAAAGAGGGAAGGGCAGTGGCATGGGTAGAGTGGGTGGTACTTGTCAGGCACTCCACTGGCTGTTTGCGTGCCTTGTCATTTAAACCTTTTTGTAACTATGTGAGGTAGGAAGTATTAGTCCCACTTTATAGATGCAGAAACAGGCTCTGAGAGGTATGCAAAATCACAGAGCTTACAGATGTTGCTGTCAGGACCTGACTAAAGTCCAGGCTATTTCTTATTTTATTTTTTTGAGATGGAGTTTCACTCTTGTTGCTCAGGCTGGAGTGTAACGGCATGACCTTGGCTCACTGCAACCTCTGCCTCCTGGGTTCAAGCAATTTTTCTGCTTCAGCCTCCCAAATAGCTGGGATTACAGGTGCCCACCACTGTGCTCGGCTAATTTTTTATATTTTTAGTAGAGATGGGGTTTCACCATGTTGGCCAGGATGATGTCAAACTCCTGACCTCAGATGATCCACCCTGCCTTGGCCTCCCAAAGTGCTGGGATTCCAGAGCTACTGTGCCAGGCCGGTCCAGGCTATTTCTATGACAATGTTTCCTTTTCATCTTTACGGTGATTTACCATAAAAAGGTGGTTTTTTTTTTTTTAGAGTAAAGTTTTGCTATGTTGCCTAGGCTGGTCTTGGCCTTGGGTGATCCTCCCACCTCAGCCTTCCAAAGTGCTGAGATTGGGATATAGGTGTGAGCCACTGGGCCCGGCCCATAAACAGTTTTTTCTTTGAAATGGAGTCTTGCTCTGTCCCCCAGGCTGGAGTGTAGTGGCGGAATCTCAGCTTACTGCAACCTCTGCCTCCTGGGTTCAAGCAATTCTCCTGCCTTTTAGCCTCCCAAGTAACTGGGATCACAGGCATGTGCCATCACGTCTGGCTAATTATTTTTGTATTTTTAGTGGATACAGGATTTCACCAGGATGGCCAGGCTGGTTTCGAACTCCTGACCTCAAGTGGTCTGCCCACCTCGGCCTCCCAAAGTGCTGGCATGATTATAGTGCAGGATTACTGGCATGAGCCACCGCCCCCAGCCATATTTTTAAAAAGTTATTTTATACTTTCCCTAGTAGGCTCAGCTTCCTACTGGGGAGAAGAGATGACAGGGGATAATGGTTCAGGGTGGAGGTAAAGGACAATGGAAGGACTGCATATAACTTGGTGTCACAGTTTGCTTCATGTCATCGAAACCCATGTCAGCACCTGGTGCCCAAACAAATTGCAAGACAGTAAAAAAACCAGCATAACACTAGACTGGGAATGGCAGGAACAATGATGGAAATTAGGCTCTTCTAACATGACCATTGATGGGAGCATAAATTGTGACATTGCAGAGCATTTGGCAAAATTATACAGAATTTTTAAATTGGTGTTTTGTTCGTTTAGTCAACAGGCTACATGAGTGTTATAGCTCCCTCTCACGCCAACTAGAAATCATCAAAGGGCTCCACTTTTACCAACTCAAGCTTTGGTCTACACTTAAAGTCAACAGTGTAATCTCTGCTGGAACACTCACACCCATTCCAATCTGGGCACTCACCTCTGTGTTCTGTAAATCACTGTCAGCAGAGCAATGATCACAGCGGTGATCAAACCATAGTCCAATCCCAGGAATAAGGAGGACACAAAAGTGGTAAGCCAGATGGTCTAAGCAAAAGACAGACAGATTCATGGAGAAGCATGTTAAACATCCCACGAGAGTTAAACACACAAGTGTGCACACACACCTGCTACTTTTACCTTGCCTAAGTGGATACTGCACATAACAACTGCATTAACTTATATTTCTCACATTTTTCTTAACACTAATCATATTTGCTCTGTGACATATTAACATAGCTAAGGTCTCTTTTAGGCTGACCGATGGCACCAAGGATGCCATGGTAACCTGTGTGACCTGCATGGACAACCCAGATGAGTTCCTGGAAAATCTGAAGTAACTGGAAGATCATGAAAAGGGAAAGAAATGATCACCCCTTGTGGTGCCTAATTAACTTTGAGAAATTTTATATTGTTTCTTATTCCTGCCCCAATTAATAAGGCAGTTGGACTTTGTAACGGACCTTGGTCATCCTTGTGACTCCAGACCCTACAACCCCCTCCTAGCTTGCAAAAAACTGCCCTAAACTTTAACTTCTGTAACTTTCCACTGCTTACCCCAAACCTATAAAACCAACTCCTATCCCATCACCCTCTGCTGACTCTTTTTTCGGACTTAGCCCGCCTGCGCCTGAGTGAATAGACAGCCATGTTACTCACACAAAGCCTGTTTGGGGGTCTCTTCATTCAGAGCGCGTGTTTTAACAATAGCCATCACCTTTGTTACTTACCAGCTCTATTTTGCTGGTTCTCCAGAAAAAGGGGAGATCTGAGAACTGCATAAACATTCCCTTCAGGTTGACAATCACGATGGCCGAGAGCACAGCCTGAAACAGAGTACATCCCCATGCCTCTCCTCTTGTGTCCACAGAGTACCCTTTGCTGGTTCCTTCCTGTCCTTCTTCCCCATATCTTCTCCTTGCTCACTTCCTGCATAATGCTGATGGTAGCTTTGAATTCATGAACACGTGGATTTTCAGGACCTGGTTAGCTAAAGGGGGCCTTGGAAAATCAGTCTTTTTATTTTGAGATGGAGTCTTGCTCTGTCTCCCAGGCTGGAGAGCAGTGGCAAAATCTTGGCTCACTGCAACCTCTGCCTCCCGGGTTCAAGTAATTCTTCTGCCTCAGCCTCCCAAGTAGAGTAGCTGGGACTACAGGCTTGTGCCACTACATCTGGCTAATTTTTGTATTTTTAGTAGAGATGGGATTTCACCATGTTGGCCAGGCTGGTCTCAAACTCCTAACCTCAGGTGATCTACTCAACTCGGCCTCCCAAAGTGCTGGGATTACAGGCATGAGCCACTGCGCCTGGCCAGAAATTAGTCTTATATCCTAGTAGCCAACCTTCAATGGTGACCAAGAGGTTCGGAAATGAACTTGGTAGTCAAATAATTATTTCACCTATGGTCTTTCTACATTATGATCTTCTCTACTCTATATGGTTCCTGATCTCTACTAGATTAAATATATCATCATGTAAATGTCTTATGAGTGTAGGCCATCTCGGATTTTTTATGAAAGTATAGGGTCATAGAAGGTCAAAGACAGAAGGGATGTTCAAGATCAGCCAGTTTAAATCCCAACTTGGCAGAAAAGAAAACCAAGGCTCAGAGAAGTTAAGATGGCTTTCCCCAGGTCCTGCAGGTAGCTGTCAGCAGGTTATAGAGCAGGATCTTGGTCCTACCTTTGGCCCTTTCTTATATCATCCTGTGAGGGTTACAGTAAATAACCCTAATATAGCCATACAAACATAAACAAATAAAACAGCAAAGTCTTTATACATGGAAGAAACTTCACCCAAGTCCACATTACACACACCTGGGGTAATGATTCAAAGAGGAATCCAGTTGCTAATATGACCAGCAGAATCATTAATGAGGCCAAACAACCTGCAAGCTGAATGAGAGAAGACACATAGAAGGGGCTTTTAGGAGAGCTGAATAAAGGCATGGGTTGGTTTTATTCTTTTCTTTTGATAATTGCTATGGGAATATCAAGAAACTATGGATTTAAATAAGTCATCTAAACCATTACATAACCTATAGCTCCATCCCACTCCCTCTCTGAAGTTAGGTTCTTCTTATGGCTTTTAAATGGAAGCTGAAATGCTGAAATATCCTAATTAAAATGCTCTTTTCAGAGGTGGGGGAAAGATGTCTGGTACCAACCTGAGACCCACAAGGGCCACCAGAAAATTTCAGATAAATGTCTGTAGTCCCATATGGGAGCCAGTAGCCACATGTGGCCATTTACATTATTAAAAATTAAAAGGTCTTGGTCAAACTAACCACATTTCAAGTACTCAAGAGCCACACGTTGCTAGTGGCTGCCATATTGGACAGTGCAGATATTGAACATTTCCAACATTGCAGAAAGTTCTACTGGATAGTGCTGGCATACCGCCCGCACTCAATCTCAGGCTTTCATGACAACATCCCGTGTCTGAACTTTGAGGTTTACTGATAGCTCAGTGTTGCATAACTTGGCAATTTAACTGGAGAATATACCTCTTTCCTATAGATTCAGTTCCTTGTGATTCACTTCAACCAATCATGCCTTTCTCTGATTCACTATACAGCTCACTAGAGCATGGATCTGCAGGCAGAGTAGCTTTGTTTGGGTTTAGAATAGAATTAAAAGATTAAAATTTAATTACCACCCATATCACTAGGTTTTAGCGGCCTGTTATATACATACCTGTGTCTTTCCTCCAGTTCCCTCCTGAACAAGGCTTCGAGACAAGGAGCACGAAATTGAAAAGGTCTGGAAGAGTGAGCCAATGGAATTGCACAGTCCGAGGGCAATGAGCTCCTTTTCCACATAGAAACAAAACACAAAAGAGATAGGTCATTCTTCAGAAAAAGAAGTATAGTAGCCCACTTAATACACGTTTTCAGCACTACAGCCTATCTCTTCATTTTCCTTTCAGATGTAAGAATTTGTTTAGCATAAGTTCAAAACAGGAATTATGGAATATTTTATAGTGTGTGTGTGGGGAAACACTTTGAATTTTTAATTTGTCAGAGATAAACACTGGGATCCCTGCTTAGCCTCTGCCTTCCCAAACACACCCCCTACATATATAATGCTTTTCTTAAGAAGAAAACTGTACTAAAAGGGACAAACTATTTTTATTGCTGAAGAGAAATTAATCAATGTATAGGATTCTTGGCATCTTTTTAATGCCTGGGCTATTGCTCACCAATGAGTACATGCCAGTGTCTTCCTGGGGCAAATGAGTCCTACTCTTAGGTTTACTTTGGGTATTTCTAGTTTGACCACTGCATCTCAGATCAATGTGAAGCATCTAGTTTCTCCTTAGAATACATAAGGTATTGAAATAGACATTATCATGTCAACATTATAGCTCAGTGTTTGGATTAAATACCTTATCTGTGGCTGTGTTATAAAAGTATGTGGCAAAGAGAATATTGTAAAGTTAGTGATGAATCATATTTCCAACATTTAATGAACAAAATTAAGCCTTCCCAGGGAGCAAAAACACCCTGGAAAAACATTTAATCCTAAACTGTGAGCTTTAAAAATAGAAATAACATTGCATGTTGAATAAACATGCTTCAGATATATCAATCATCAGCAAAAAAAGTTTTTTTTTCTTTTTTTCTAAAGATGAGTTTTGCTCTGTCACCCAGGCTGGAGTGCAGTGGCACGATCTCAGCTTATTGCAACCTCTGCCTCCCAGGTTCAAGCAATTCTCTGCCTCAGCCTCCCAAGTAGCTGGGATTACAGGTGCCTGCCAGCTTGCCTGGCTAATATCTGTATTTTCAGTAGAGACGGGATTTCACCATGTTGGCCAGGTTGGTCTTGAACTCCTGACTTCGTGATCTACCTGCCTCAGCCTCCCAAAGTGCTGGGATCACAGACGTGAGCCACTGCGCGCGGCCCCCCCAAAATTTTTCTACCAAGATAGATTAGTTCATGTACCTTCCATAACAGACCATGGTGACTATACTGCTATGAAACATCTGCAGGAAAATGATTATCTTTACCTGATTGCCGTCAACCTGGTAGCCATGTTTATTTGCCAAGGTCTTGGCCATGGAGATGGTCACCGAAAATCCAACAATGGCTATGGCAATGGCATCTACATACACAAGATGGAAGAGGCTGGTGTCCGGATTAGCTGGAGGTAGCAGCCTGAAAAGTCAAGCTGACTTTAACTTGTGTAGTGACCACAAGGGAAGAGAATAAAAACCCTGTAACTGCAGGAAATATTTTAGGGGGGCATTATCTGCAAATGAGGTGATCAATGCTCGGATACTTATTTGCTCTGGTTGGCAAAAAGGAGGATCCTCTTTGACACAGAAAGGTTCTTTTCAGGCTCAAACTGCAGAGCGCAGCTTTTTACCTGGATGGGTTATCAGCAGAGATCAGATGCCATTTTATTTATAAAAGGAGAAACCTCATACCTCATGACACCCTGGTGGCAAATGTAAGTAAGACAGAACCAGGAAGAATAAGTCAGCAAAGTGCTCAGATGCCATGAGGCATCTGAACCCAAGTCTTGGGGTGGGGAGGGTAGTCTAAGGGCTACCTTAGAGGAGAATTAATGTTCTGGCAATGTGAGGCACCACATACTTCTCCCCCTTGTCATTTGATGTAAGGACTCTGAGTCTGCTACCTCTTCCCAAGTTTTTTAACCCATTAGCTGAGGTTGTAACATGGGAAAGGAGCTGCAGAAGGCTATACTTTTTGGGTGTCACCTGCAAATCTTGTGAATCCAGAGGAGACAGAAGTGTGACTCCTGGAACCCCACAATGGAGAACCCAGCTTTGTGGTACATACTTGTAGTCTGGGACCCTTATCCTAAAGAAACAGAACAGGGATTCCCTAGAGTGTTAATGGGAAAGGGGCAGTAGGGATTTTCAGACATTGTGCTCCAATTCAAGGCATTGGGCTAAAGAATAATAACAATCATTCAACTGATTCTAATAATTATTTCAATATCAAGCATTTCTTATGTGTCTTCTCTGGGCCAGGTTCTGTGATCATTTAATTGTTTTCAATGGCCCTGTGAACTAGGCACTATTATAATTCCCATTTTACAGATGAAGAAAATGAGGCATAGTGAGGTTCAGCAACTTGTCCAAGGTCAAGCAGCTCATCTACCAAGTACAACAAAACCATGAAGAACCTGCTTGTCTACAGCTATTTCTCTTACTATGTCACAGCGCAGTGACAGAAGGGAGGTTTTATGTTACTGAGTAAGGAAAGAGAGGAAGAAAGGGAAGGGAACCTAATGTCTGTCAAGGTGAGATTACCTGCTACATGCTTTACCTAAGTCATCTTTTTTCCTCATAGCACTCGCATTACATAGGTTCCACTATTACCCCAATTTATAGGTGAAAAAATGGATTTTGACAGACATTAAGTGATTTTCCCAAAATGGAGCAGGGAATCAAACCTGGGGGGTCTAATTATAAAATCTGTTTCCTTCCCTGCTGTTTGCTGCACAGGCATGAACTAAGAGGGAAGGCCTAGCAGCAGGTTTGGGCCAAAGGAATAAGAATATAAGAAAAGGACATATTTTGGAATGAGTTAAGGAAAGTAAACAAGAAAACAGGATATAGTACTATGATTGTAATCTTTAACAGTTCACTGTCACTTCCTGGGCTCTGTAATATGTATGCTTGTATGTACATGTATACAGAAATGTGGTAGTTTGCTTTCAAATAGGCCACCAGCCATTCTTCTCATACTTGTATGTGCCTGTCACTCCCCTAATCTAGATGTGGAATCTGTTTTCCCTCCAGCTGTATCTGAGCTGGCCTTGTGATTTGCTTTGAGCAACAGAATGTGGTGGAAGTGATGCTCTACGAGTGCCTTAAGAGGCCTGGTAAATTCTCTGGTTTTATTTCTTGTTGCTCTGAGCCACCATGTAAAGAGGTATGGCAATGCTGCTGGAGATACCACATGTAAACAGATGCCAGCCAGCCCTCAGCTGTTCCAGTCACTCCAGCTGAGGTGGCAGACATGTGAGTGAAGCCCTCTTGGATCTTCCAGCACTAGTCACACCTGTGGATATCTGCAGGTGCATAAGAAACCTCAAGTGAGACCTGCCAAAGAACCACCCAACTGAACCTCACATAGACTAAAAAACTATGAGCAAATTAATGGTGGCTGTTTTAAGTCACTGTTTTGGGGTAGTCAGTTATCAGTGGAGCAATGAGACTCACAGGTAACTAAAACAGTATGATTGTATGTAGATAGGTAGGTAGGTATTTGTTACTTACTTGGTTTTGGGCAATGTTCCAGAAAGATAGGGTTTCTAGGTAGCCTATTTCCAGAAAGGTAAAATCTTCTTTTTAATTTTTTTAAGTTAAACTGTCACATATAGAAGGGAAGTAATATGTTTGAGTACAATGCAACAGGGAAAGGAAGGCATTAAATAGAAATTGTAGTGACAGGTAGATTTTAACTTTTCAGTGTGTGTATGTAGATACACATATTTTGAGACAAAGTTTCCCGCTTGTTGCCCAGGCAGCAGTATAGTGGTGCAATTTCGGCTCACTGCAACCTCTGCCTTTTGGTTTCAAGCGATTCTCCTGCTTTTGCCTCCCGAGTAGCTGGGATTACAGGCGCCCGCCACCATGCCTAGCTAATTTTTGCATTTTTAGTAGAGATGGGGTTTCACCATGTTGGCCAGGCTGATCTCAAACTCTTGATCTCATGATCAGCCCACCTTGGCTTCCCAAAGTTCTGGGATTACAGGCATGAGCCACTGCACCTGGCCTCAGTATATTTTTAAAAGGAGTAATCTAAATGTAAACATTTCACATTTAATTACATTATTTGGAACTAGTAACTAAATATGATTATCTATTGGATCCAATCAAAGACTAATGTTTACCACATAACTGGCTAGATTAGATACCAAGGTGTGAGGTAATGGAAAGTGCACAAAGCTGGGTATCTGCAGACTGCATTCTGGATCCGGGCTGGGACTCACCAGTGAGTTACTAAACCTCATTCATGTCTCTCAAATATCGCCTTCCCTGACACCCTACCTAAAACAGCAACCCCAGTCCCTCCGATACCTTACCTGGCTTCATGTTTTTAAAACCAGCACTTCTCACTATCTGTTTATTTATTGCCTGTCTTTACTAGTAGAATATAAACTCCATGGGGGCAAGGACACGTTGGCTTGTGTGTTTTTGCTTTTAACTGTAAGGTCCCTGGTACATAATAGGCACTCAATAAACATATGTTGAATAAATTTTCTGTAAAACATATATTGTTACTAGGGTTATTGTAAGCATTAATTGAGATAGTGGATATAAACATATTTTATAATTTAAAATAGTTTTTTTGAGACAGGGTCTCACTCTGTTACCCAGGCTGGAGTGCAGTGGCACGATCTTGGCTCACTGCACCCTCCACCACCTGGGCTCAGGTGATCCTCCCACTTCAGCCTCCTGAGTAGCTGGGACTGCAGGTGGATGCTGCCACATCTAGCTAATTTTTGTATTTTATATAGGCATGGGGTTCCAGGCATGTTGCCTAGGCTGGTCTTAAACTCCTGAGCTAAAGCCATCTGCCTGCCTGGGCTTCCCGAAGTGCTGTGATTACAAGCCTGAGCCACCTCTGCACCTGCCCATTATTTTGTAAATTATAAGGTCAGATTGAAAGGTCAGTGGTTACTGCTGTGTTTTAGCTTTACATTGAATCATGATAGTAACATATTCATGATACCCATTGATTTTGCTGGTTAAAAGTAGAGTGTATGCTTCCTCCTTCAATGCGTGCTCTGTGGGGTGAACTTTGGCTTAAAGAGCAACCTCTGCTCCCTTTGCTTCCCGGGAGACTCTTAGATGGTTCTGCAGGGCAAGGCCTAATGGAGTATGCCAAGTTCCATCAATGTCCAACATCTGTGAAAAATGACTCTTCTTTTGGAAGACAGAAGAGGGTGGTGAGAGAAAGAGACACAGAGAAATAATATAAGACAGAGATATATTGAGAGACAGAGGGACAGCCAGAGAGTGACAGGGAGGAACAAGAAAAATGGTAGTCTTGCTCCTTCAAATATAAAGAGAATAATACATTTTTAATGAATTAAATTTTTTTTCTTTTGAGATAGAGTCCTGCTCTGTTGCCCAGGCTGGAGTAGAGTGGCGAAATCTCGGCTCACTGCAACTTCCACCACCCAGGTTCAAGTGATTTTACTGCCTCAGCCTCCCCAGTAGCTGGGATTATAGGCTCGTGCCACCATGCCCCGTTAATTTCTGTATTTTTAGTAGAGACAGGGTTTCACCATGTTGGCCAGGCTGGTCTTGAACTCCTGACCTTATGATCCGCCCACCTTGGCCTTCCAAAGTGCTGGGATTACAGGTGTGAGCCACCATGCCTGGCCAATAATACATTTTTAAAATGTAGAGTTAGATAATATAGATGAAGCAAAGAATAACATGATTAGAAACTAAAAAACTCATTGAAACAACAGCCTCAGAACCCATTACTAATAAGTGATTAACACGTCTTGAATGCTTACTGTGTGTTCAGGTGTTCTCTTACTGCCTTCCATGTGTTATCTCCTGCAGCTCTCACAACTGCCTTTGAGATAAGTATTAGTTACCACGCCCTCCTGACAGGTGAGGAAACAGGCTTTGAGAGTGTAAGTGGCCTGCTTACAAATCACACAGCTAGTAAGTGACAGTCTAGGATTTAGGAGTTTTTTTTTTTTTCGCTCTTAAATCCTATGTCAGTTAAGGAGAGATTTTAGAAACTATTAAATTTAGAAAAACAAACAAACAAAAAACAGAAAACCACTTGCCACTATTGGTGAGATTGTAACTATTGCTGTGGGAAGCGGTATGAAAGTTCCTCAAAAAAGTAAAAATACATCCAGCAATTTCACTTTCAGGTATATACCCAAAAAAAGTGAAAGCAAGGTCTCAAAGATATATTTGCACACCCATATCCACAGCAGCACTATTCACAATAGCCAGGAGGTAAAGGCAACCCACATGCTCATCAATGGATGCATGGAGAAATTAATAGAGCATATATCCACAATGAACTATTATCCAGCCTTAAAAAAGGAAGAAAATACGATCATATGCTACAATATAGACTATACTCTGAAGACATTTGCTAAGTAAAATAAGCCAGTCACAAAAACAAACACTATATGATTCCACTTATATGAGTTATGTAGAGCAGTCACATTCATAAAAACAGAAAGATGAATAGTGGTTACTAGGGGCTGGGGGAAGAGGAAAAGAGGAAGCTCTAGTTTAAGGGGTATAGGGTCATAGATTTACAAGATGAAAAAGTCCTGGACATCTGTTTTACAATAATGGGAATATATTTAACACTACTGAACTGTACACTTAAAAATGATTAAGACTCACAGGGCGCAGTGGCTCATGCCTGTAATCCCAGCACTTTGGGAGGCTGAGGCGGGTAGACGACATGAGGTGAGGAGTTCGAGACCAGCTGGTCAACATGGTGAAACCCCGTCTCTACTAAAAATACAAAATTAGCCAGGTGCGGTATAATCCCAGCTACTTGGCAGGCTGAGACAGGAGAATCGCTTCAACCTGGGAGACAGAAGTTGTAGTGAGCTGAGATCACGCCACTGCAACTCCAGCCTGGGTAACAGAGCAAGACTCTGTCTCAAAAAAAAAAAAAGGTTAAGACAGAAATTTTTTTTAAGTTTTTTTTACTCCAATAGTAAAAAAAAAAAAAAAAAAGAAAAAAAGAAAAAAAAAGTTTCCAAATCCCCTAAAACCCTCAGCTATTTGATGTATAGAAAAAAAAAAAAGATTATTTTTCATTGCAAGAGTACTAAAGTAAGAGTTAGAGGCAATAGATCCATTGATTATTTCAGTCACACTGTTACTTAAAACTACTTTCCTACCCTAGAGGAAGCGTTCCAACGACATCCACATTGTATGATTCTTTCAAGTTAAACCCAGCTGAAATGCCAGTTCCCATTACCACCTAAAAAGACACAAATCCAAATGCACCTTTAGAGATGAATACTCAAATACCACAAAAATCAGCTTCAAAGAATATGTTAGTCAAGCCAAATCTATTCTCACTTTTAATACTGAGATTTAAAAAGAAGAATTACCATTAGCTTCAACAATTCTAACTTCTCTTAATGATGCTACCCCACATAATTAAAATGAACTCCACAGTTTCTTTATGACCTGGAATTTTCTTCATGCTTTGTCCTCTCCTACACTGAGGTGTTCCGGCTAGTTGACTGCAACAGAAAAAGTCCATAAAGCCTTTCAAACATTGTCCTTACCTTTAGGGCGGGTGAAATGAGTCTCTGGCCACAATGTTATGAATAAAGGACATTTAACTGTGGACTTTGAGGTACAATGACTGTATGATTACTAAATGTATGTTTGGATTTAGAATCCTTCTGCTGATCGTGTTTCCAGGACAGCAGCCCCAAGTGCAGTGAGAGGCCCCCAGCAGCAACCCATAGCTGTCTCCTTTCATTTCAGCTACAAAGTCAGAGTGGAACTGTACATCAGAGGGTCACTGTATATAAGGCCATCCTGGATTGGCAGGGCATAGATTTACTAGGGGTGTAAACTACAATCCCTAATGAGTTACAAGAAGGGAAACATAACAAAAGTTGTGATAGCAATTTGCTCTATGACCAGGAACTATTGCCTATAGAACTTTCTGAGTGTGTTATCCAGAAGAGGAGAAATAAGGGTTGGCCAGGGAAGGAAGACAGTCCCTCCTGGGGATGGCCACTATAGGAAACAAATAATAAGATAAGCTTATTATTATAAATAGCAGCCTGGGAGACCAGGGGCATGGATGGTTCTGGCTCCTTTGATGGAAGGATCCTTTTCTATTGATGACAATTATTTTCATCACCATTTTTTTTTTTTTTGAGATGGAGTTTTGCTCTTGTTGCTCAGGTTGGAGTGCAATGGAGCGATCTCAGCTCACTGCAACCTCCTCCTTTTGGGTTCAAGCAATTCTCCTGCCTTAGTCTCCCCAGTAGCTGGGATTACAGGCATAAGCCACGACACCCAGCTAATTTTGTATTTTTAGTAGAGATGGGGTTTGTCCATGTTGGTCAGGCTGGTCTTGAACTTCTGACCTCAGGTGATCTGCTCACTTTGGCCTCCCAAAGTGTTGGGATTATAGGCGTGAGCCACCTCTCCTGGCCTATTTTTGTCACCCCTAATTGCAATTTTGTGTGTATCTAACTAGCAGAGTGCCTAGAATATTCGAATCTACATGATAAATATGGCTCAAGCTCCTGGAGCATTAATTTTACACAGTGGTAAGTAATTTAAACCATTGTTTTCCTATCCACACAAATAGATGTATTATAAAATAGAATGCAAAACTCAAAAAATGTTTTTATAATAAAAAATAAATTTTATGCTTAAAGGGAGTCATAAAGATGCCGTCCCTAAACTTTCTAGAATGCTGGGGAACAATTCCTCTGGGAAACATGGAAGCATCTTTAAAGGGAATCTGGAAAACAGAGTTAGTAACCAAAGCAGGAGAGACAAGTTGCATCATTTACTTCATAGTTGGGGTTTGCCTCTCCACTTTCCCACACAAAGGTGCTCAGAGCATCTTGCTATACTACAAGTCGACACAGGAACTCTGTGCCTAGCCCCAGTGAGAGAAGAGGTTTTGAAACAGAGATAATTTTTGCCTGCTAAAAGGTACTAATGGCATGTAGACAAGACTGAGGCAAAGAAAAGGATAGAAGATATTGGCTTCCTTGTGAGGTACATCAGCCAGTGGTTTTCATAGCTAGAACTTTTTGCAAAATTTGGATCAGACACCTATACTCTTCATTTAAAAAGACTTTTTAAAACTGTACTTTAAGTTCTGGGATTCATATGCAGAATGTGCAGATTTGTTACATAGGTATACACGTGCTATGGTGGTTTGCTGCACCTATCAACCTGTCATCTACATTAGGTATTTCTCCTAATGTTATCCCTCCCTTACTCCCCCACCTCTTGACAGGCCCTGGTATGTGATGTTCCCCTTCCTGTGTCCATGTGTTCTCATTGTTCAACTCCCACTTAGGAGTGAGAACATGTGGTGTTTGGTTTTCTGTTCCTGTGTTAGTTTGCTGAGAATGATGCTTTCCAGCTTCATCCATGTCCCTGCAAAGGACATGAACTCATTCTTTTTTATGGCTGCATAGTATTCCATGGTGTATATGTGCCACATTTTCTTTATCCAGTCTATCACTGATGGGCATTTGTGTTAGTTCCAAGTCTTTGCTATTGTGAATAGTGCTGCAATAAACACATGTGTGCATGCATCTTTATAGCAGAATGATTTATAATCCTTTGGGTATATACCCAGTAATGGGATTGCTGGGTCAAATAGTATTTCTGGTTCCAGATCATTGAGGAGTCACCACACTGTCTTCCACAGTGGTTGAACTAATTTACACTCCTACAAACAGTGTAAAGTGTTCCTATTTCTCTACATCCTCTCCAGCATCTGTTGTTTCCTGACTTTTTAATGATCACCATTCTAACTGGTGTGAGATGATATCTCATTGTGGCTTTAATTTGCATTTCTCTAATGACCAGTGATGATGAGCTTTTTTCTATATGTATGTTGGCTGCATAAATGTCTTCTTTTGAGAAGTGTCTGTTCATATCCTTTACCCACTTTTTGTTTTTTTCTTGTAAATTTGTTTAAGTTCCTTGTAGATTCTGGATATTAGCCCTTTGTCAGATGGGTAGCTTGCAAAAATTTTCTCCCATTCTGTAGGTTGCCTGTTCACTATTATAGTTTCTTTTGCTGTGCAGAAGCTCTTTAATTAGATCCCATGTGTCAATTTTGGCTTTTGTGGCCATTGCTTTTGGTGTTATAGTCATAAAGTCTTTATCCATGCCTATGTCCTGAATAGTATTGCCTAGGTTTTCTTCTAGGGTTTTTATGGTTTTATGTTTTATGTTAAGTCTTTAATTCATCTTGAGTTAATTTTTGTATAAGGTGTAAGGAAGGGTCCAGTTTCAGTTTTCTGCATATGACTAGCCAGTTTTCCCAGTACCATTTATTAAATAGGGAATCCTTTCTCCATTGCTTGTTTGTCAGGTTTGTCAAACATCAGATGGTTGTAGATGTGTTATCATTTCTGAGGCCTCTGTGCTGTTCTATTGGCCTATATATAGCTCTTTTGGTACCAGTACCATGCTGTTCTTGTTATGGTAGCCTTTTAGTATAGTTTGAAGTCAGGTGGTGTGATGCCTCCAGCTTTGTTCTTTTTGCTTAGGATTATCTTGGCTACACAGGCTCTTTTTTGGTTCCATATGAAATTTAAAATAGATTTTTCTAATTCTGTGAAGAAAGTCAATGGTAGCTTGATGGGAATAGCTTTGAACCTATAAATTACTTTGGGCAGTATGGCCATTTTCACAATATTGATTCTTCCTAACCATGAGCATGGAATGCTTTTCCATTTGTTTGTGTCCTCTCCTATAAAGCAGTGTTTTGTAGTTCTTCTTGAAGAGGTCCTTCACATCCCTTGTAAGTTGTATTCCTAGGTATTTTATTCTCTTTGTAGCAATGGTGAATGGGAATTCACTCATGATTTGGCTCTCTGTTTGTCTATTATTGGTGTATAGCAATGCTTGTGATGTTTGCACACTGATTTTGTATCCTGAGATTTTGTTGAAGTTGCTTATCAGCTTACGGAGATTTTGGGCTGAGATGATGGGGTTTTCTAAATATACAATCATGTTATCTGCAATTTGACTTCCTCTCTCCCTATCTGAATATGCTTTAATTCTTTCTCATGCTTGATTGCCCTGGCCAGAACTTCCAATACTATGTTGAATAGGAGTGGTGACAGAGGGCATCGTTGTCTTGTGCCAGTTTTCAAAAGGAATGCTTCCAGCTTTCAGTATGATACTGGCTGTGGGTTTGTCATAAATAGCTGTTATTATTTTCAGATATGTTCCATTGATACCTAGTTTATTGAGAGTTTTTAGCATGAGGCTGTGTTGAATTTTATCGAAGGCCTTTTTTGCATCTATTGAGATAATCATATGGGTTTTGTCATTGATTCTGTTTATGTGATAGATTGCATTTATTGATTTGTGTATATTGAACCAGGCTTGCATCCCATGAAGGAAGCCAACTTGATTGTGATGGATAAGCTTTTTGATGTGCTGCTAGATTCAGTTTGCCACTATTTTTGGGGGTGGACTTTCACATCGATGTTCATCAGGGATATTGGCCTGAAATTTCTTTTTTCGTTGTGTCTCTGCCAGGTTTTGGTATTAGGATGATGCTGGTCTCATAAAATGAGTTAGGAATTAGTCCCTCTTTTTCTATTGTTTAGTTTCTGAAGGAATGGTACCAGCTCCTCTTTGTACATCCAACAGAATTTGGCTGTGAATCCATGTGGTCCTGGGATTTTTTTGTTGGTAAGCTATTAATTACTGCCTCAATTTTATAACTTGTTATTGGTCTATTCAGGGATACAACTTCTTACTGGTGTAGTCTTGGGAGACTTGTGTCCAGGAATTTATTCATTTCTTCTAGATTTTCTAGTTTATTTGTGTAGAGGTGTTTATAGTATTGATTGTAGTTTGTATTTCTGTGGTATCAGAAGTGATCTCCCATTATCATTTTTTATTGTGTCTATTTGATTCTTCTTTCTTTTCTTCTTTATTAGTCTGGCTAGCAGTCTATTTATTTTGTTAACCTTTTCAGAAAACCAGCTCCTGTATTTATTGATTTTTTGAAGGGTTTTTCATGTCTCTATCTCCTTCGGTTATGCTCTGATTTTAGTTATTTCTTGTCTTCTGCTAGCTTTTGAATTTGCTTGCTCTTGCTTCTCTAGTTCTTTTAATTGTGATGTTAGAGTGTCAATTTTAGATCTCTCCCACTTTCTCCTGTGGGTATTCAATGCTATAAATTTCCCTCTAAACACTGCTTTACCTGTGTCCCAGAGATTCTGGTACATTGTGTCTTTGTTCTCATTGGTTTCAAAGAACTTATTTATTTCTGCTTTAATTTCATATTTACCTACTAGTCATTCCAGAGCAGGTTGTTCAGTTTTCATGTAGTTGTGCTGTTTTGAGTGGGTTTCTTAATCCCGAGTTATAATTTGATTGCACTGTGGTCTGAGAGACTGTTTGTCATGATTTCCATTCTTTTGTATTTGCTGAGGAGTGTTTTACTTTCAATTATGTGGTGGATTTTAGAATAAGTGCGATGTAGTGCTGAGAAGAACACATATTCTGTTGATCTAGGGTAGAGAGTTCTGTAAATGTGTGTTAGGTTTGCTTGGTCCAGAGCTGAGTTCAAGTCCTGAATATCCTTGTTAATTTTCAGTCTTGTTGATCTAATATTGACGGGGTGTTAAAGTCTCCCACTATTATTGTGTGGGAGTCTAAGTCTCTTTGTAGGTCTCTAAGAACTTGCTTTAAGGATCTGGGTGCTCCTGTATTATATGCATATATATTTAGGATCAGTAGCTCTTCTCGTTGCATTGATCCCTTTACCATGTAATATCCTTCTTTATCTTTTTTAAATCTTTGTTGGTTTAAAGTCCGTTTTATCAGAGACTAGGATTGCAACCCCTGCTTTCTTTTCTTTCCATCTGCTTGGTAAATCTTCTTCCATTTCTTTATTTTGAGCCTATGTGTTTCTTTGCACACGAGATGGGACTCCTGAATACAGTACATCCATGGGTCTTGACTCTATCCAATTTGCCAGCCTATGTCTTTTAATTGGGGCATTTAGCTCATTTACATTTAATGTTAATTTTTTTTTTTGAAATGGAGTCTTGCACTGTCACCCAGGCTGTAGTGCAGTGGCGCTATCTTGGCTCACTGCAATCTCCACCTATTGGGTTCAAGCAATTCTCCTGTTCAGTCTCCTGAGTAGCTGGGACTACAGATGTGCACTGTCATGCCCAGCTATTTTTTTTCTATTTTTAGTAGAGATGGGGTTTCACCATTTTGGCCTGGATGGTCTTGATCTCCTGACCTCGTGATCTGCCCACCTTGGCCTCCCAAAGTGCTGGGATTACAGGCGTGAGCCACTGCACCTGGCCAAGGCTAATATTGTTATATGTGAATTTGACTCTGTCATTATGATGCTAGCTGGTTATTTTGCCCATTAATTGATGCTGTTTCTTTATAGTGTCAACTGTCTTTACAATTTAGTATGTTTTTGTAGTGGCTGGTACTGGTTTTTCTTTTCCATATTTAGTGCTTCCATCAGAAGCTCTTGTAAAGCAGGTCTGGTGGTGATAAAATCTCTCAGTATTTGATTGTCTGTAAAGGATTTTATTTTCTTTCACTTATGAAGCTTAGTTTGGCTGGATATGAAATTCTGGGATGAAAATTCTTTTCTTTAAGAATGTTGAATATTGGCCCTTACTCTTTTCTGGCATGTAGGGTTTCTGCAGAGAGATCCGCTGTTAGTCTGATAGGCTTCCCTTTGTGGGTAACCTCACCTTTCTCACTGGCTGCCCTTAATATATTTTTCTTTATTTCAACCTTCGTGAATCTTATGATTATGTATTCTGGGGTTGCTCTTCTTGAGGAGTATCTTTGTGGCGTTCTCTGTATTTCCTGAATTTTAATGTTGGCTTGTCTTGCTAGGTTGGGAAAGTTCTCCTGGATAGTAGCCTGAAGAGTGTTTTCCAACTTGGTTCCATTCTCCCTGTCACTTTCAGGTACACCAACCAAACGTAGGTTTGGTCTTTTCACAGTGTCCCATATTTCTTGGAAGCTTTGTTCATTCCTTTTCATTCTTCTTACTTTATTGCTTTAAGCTGATATCCAATCTCTGATATCCTTTCTTCTACTTGATCAATTCGCCTATTGATACTCGTGCATGCTTCACAAAGTTCTCGTGCTGTGTTTTGCAGCTCCATCAGGTCATTTATGTTCTTTTCTAAACTCATCATTCTCCGTAGCAATTCCTTTAACCTTTTTTTTCAAGGTTCTTAGCCTCCTTGCACTGGGTTAGAACATGCTCCTTTAGCTTGGAGGATTTTGTTATTACCCACCTTCTGAAGCCTACTTTTGTCAGTCAAATTCATTCTCCATCCAGTTTTGTTTCCTTGCTGGTGAGGAGTTGAGATCCTTGGAGGAGAGGAGGTGTTCTGGTTTTTGGAATTTTCACCCTTTTTGAGCTGTTTTTTCCTTCATCTTCATGGATTTATCCACATTTTGTCTTTGATGTTGGTAACCTTTGGATGGAGTTTTTGTGTGGATGTCTTTTTTGTTGATGTTGATGCTATTCCTTTCTTATTTGTTTTCCTTCTAACAGTCCCCTCTTCTGCAGGTCTGCTGGAGTTTGCTGGAAGTCCACGCCAGACCCTGTTTACTTAGGTATCACCAATGAAGGCTGCAGAAAACCAGGATGCTGCCTACTCCTTCCTCTGGAAGCTTCATCCCAGAGGGGCACCCCACCCCCGGATTCCAGCTGGATCTCTCCTGTATGAGGTGTCTGTTGACCGCTGCTGGGAGGCGTCTCCCAGTTGAGAAGGCAGTCTGTCTTTCAGCAGAGCTCAAGCATTGTGCTTAGAGATCTGCTGCTCTCTTTAGAGCCAGCAGCCAGGAATGTTTAAGTCTTCTAAAGCTGCGCCCACAGCTTCCCCTTCCCCCAGGTGCTCTGTCCCAGGGAGACGGAAGTTCTATCTGTAAGCCCCTTAATTGGGGCTGCTGCCTTTCTTTCAGAGATGCCCTGCTCAAAGAGGAGAAATTTAGTCAGGCAGTCTGGCTATAGCAGCTTTGCCGAGCCGTGGTTGGCTCTGCCCAGTTTGAATTTACTGGGAGCTTTGTTTACACTATGAGGGGAAAACTGCCTACTCAAGCCTCATTAATGGCAGATGCCCCTCCCTGCACCAAGCTTAAGCATCCCAAGTCACCTTCAGACTGCTGTGCTGGCAGCGAGAATTTCAAGCCAGTAGGTCTTTGCTTGCTGGGCTCCTTTGGGGTGGGATCCGCTGAGGTAGACCACTTGGATCCCTGTCTTCAGCCCCTTTTCCAGGAGAGTGAATGGTTCTGTCTTGTTGGCATTCCAGGTGCCACTGGGGTATGAAAAAAAAACTCCTACAGCTAGCTTGGTGTCTGCCCAAACAGTTACCCAGATTTGTGCTTAAAACCCAAGGCCCTGGTGGTGTAGGTACCTGAGAGAATCTCCTGGTCTGCGGGTTGTGAAGACCATGGGAAAAACGTAATGTCTGGGTCGGAGTACACAATGGCACAGTCCCTCACGGCTTCCCTTGGCTTGTGGAGGGAGTTCCCCGACCCCTTGCACTTCCTGGGTGAGGCAACACCCCACCCTGCTTCTGTTTGCCCTCTGTCGGCTGCACCCACTGTCTAACCAGTCCCAATGAGATGAGCCAGCCGGGTAAGTCAGTTGGAAATGCAGAAATCACCTGCCTTCTGTGTTGATCTTGTTGGGAGCTGCAGACCAGAGCTGTTCCTATTCGGCCATCTTGCCAGCCCTTTACCGGCAAATCTACTCTTCATTTCTTTTGAGATGGACTCTTGCTCTGTTACCAGGTTGGAGTGCAGAAATGCAATCTTGGCTCATTGCAACCCTCGCCTCCCAGGTTCATGCAATTGTCATGCCTCAGTCTCCCAAGTAGCTGGGATGGCAGGTGCATGTCACCACACCTGGCTAATTTTTTGTATTTTTAGTAGAGACAGGGTTTCACCATGTTGACCAGGCTGGCCTGGAACTTCTGGCCTAAAGAGATCTGCCTGCCTTGGCCTCCCAAAGTGCTGGGATTACAGGAGTGAGTCACCATGCCCAGCCTACTCTTCATTTCTTATCTTTGCGGCTCCCACACATGTGCAAACAATCCAGTGGTGCCAAAGGTACTCTATGGAACACTTTGGATATTAAAAGTTCATCAGGGAAACAGTGACATCTGTTGGGCACTGTGCAAACTTCCAGCTGCAGTAGTTCATAATTTGAACACTGTTCTCCTTTCAATAATGCCATATTTTTGCAACGCTGGGTGTTCAGTTATTGCTGTGATGAAAAAGCAGGAACCATATAAATATTCATGTGAACAGGAAATGAGGGTAGCAGTGTCCTTTCTGATTCTGAGGTTTGAGGATCTGTGCAGTACCCATCAGGCATATACATTCCATGATTAAATAATTGTGGTTACTCAAGAACATAATATTTTTATTCTATTTTATGTGCATATTTTTATAAGCAGCTACTAAGTTGTTAATCATAAATTAATATTATTAAGCTGTTTGGACCCAACTACTTAATAAATGGAACTGTTATTTCTTCTGGCGAAGGAGCATCAAGAAATGGAGAAAGTTTGGGAACCCTTGCCTTGTCAAAATGGAAATGGATTTTTTTTAGGTTATTAAAGTAATATGTACTTATTATAAAACAATTAGCCAATAAAAATTTGAGAAAAAATTCTCCCTAATCCCATCACTTATAATTAATGTTAAAATTTTTACATATTATCTTATACGTAATTTAAAAAATCATCTGCGTCTGTTTTAAGGCTTTTTCTGCTTCTTTTTCAATGAAACAGTCAAATTTCTTTGACAAATTGTAACCTTCTTTTGGCAGAATTGAGAGCAAAAAAGTCCTTTTTCATCCACTCCAAAATCCCTTACAGAAATAAGTAAATGCAGTCGTAGAAGTTGAATAGGTCATTGACCCAAGGTAACTTACCGCAAAGAACTCTAAAGGAATAGGTGCCGGCAATTTCTCTTTAAATCTCTCATTAAACTCCTTGCCACCCAACAGCAAACCAAACACCATCAGCCCAACGCCTAGGGAACACACGTTGAGGTTTTTAACATTCTGCAACACAGCAACTGTACTCTGTAACACAGTGAACACTGGATGTTTATATCAAGAAATCGCCCCTAACAGAGACAGAGAAACTCTAGTGTACTAATTCACACCAGCCATTCCATTATTAGATATGTCTAGTTGAAAGTTCTCAGGCTGAAATCTCTCTTTGTAGCTTCCACCAATTAGGAGACATTTTTTCTCAGTCTACAACTTTATGGTTGTTACTTTCTAAAATAGTTCTTTTTTTTTTTGAGACAGAGTCTCTGCCTCCCAGGTTCAAGCAATTCTCCTGGCTTAGCTTCCTGAGTAGCTGGGATTGCTGTCATGCCCAGCTAATTTTTATATTTTTAGTAGACATGAGGTTTCACTACGTTGGTCAGGCTGGTCTCGAACTCCTGACCTCAAGTAATCCACCTGCCTTGGCCTCCCAAAGTGCTGGGATTACAGGCGTGAGCCACCATGCCCAGCCTTATAGTTGTTATTCTCATCAAACAATTATTCTTATCATATGCTAATGTCTCAATGTAATATTATAAAATTCAGAAAAGGAACCCTGAAGCTGAGTCCTGAGCACTTGCAAAGAATTAAGGGTTGATAGCAAAATACTACAAAGGTGAGTACACAGAAAAGCTTTTAGGAGCTCAAAGAGGGAGAAATTATTGTTAGCAGGACTTTGAAGGCAAGAGTGCTGATGTTTGGGAAAGGAGCCCAGGAGAACTAGAGAAGCAATCTACTGAAATATATCCTAGGTTTACCATCTGGGCACCTCAAATATAGTCAGTTCTCATTTGAAACCCAATAAAGTAGACTTCCCAGTCAGCCCAGGCCATGCACCCTTTCCTGTCAATGCCTAGAGTACTCAGTATGTTTTGTTTCCTTTGTGACAAGGCATTTCAAGAAGCCTTAGAGTAAGAAGTATGATAACAACTATTAATGGGAAACTAATAATTTTGTTATTTAGAGAATATTCCTAAAGTCGGATTCCATTTTAATCAGTCAAGGACTCAAATGTCACTTCCTCAAAGTGCCTTTCCTAGACTCCTAAAGGTCTCCCTAACATTCAGAGCAGCTGGTACTTCTTCTTCATAGCACTCAACACAAATTGTAATTGATTACACATGTATGCAATTAATGGTTTACTATCTGCACACTGGACTGAAAGCTCCAGAGGGCAACACTTATATCTTCTCGGCTCACAGCTGCATTTTGGCACCTACGAGTGCCTGGCACATAAATATCCACAAAGGCTACAGGCCTCTCCTTCCAAGGATAGCTTTAACAGCATCTCAGAGGTTTTGATATGTAGTACTTCTACTGTCAATTCATTCTAATTATTTCCTAATGTTTTTTAATTCAGGGGTCATTTAGAAATTTTTTTTTGTTTCTAAATCTATGGGAGTTTTAAAGCTATGTTTAGTTTTTGATTTTTAATTATATTGCACTGTGTGAAAAAGCATTAAATTTTTAGAATTTGTGATCAGTTTCACATGATCAATTTCAAAACGATCAGTTATTACCATTGTTCCCTAAGTGCCTGCAAATAATTTATATTTTCTCTGAGTTTGGTAATTGGTGTGTATAACTAAAAGATTTATGTTAGTTTAATCTTTTATAGCCTAATTTTTTTTTTGCCAGCTTGAATTAGCAGTTTTTGACAGAGATATGTTCTCCCCTTATGCCTTTAAATTATTTGTTAGTTTCCAAAGAGACCATAATTTGGTTGTAAGAAAAAGTTCTCTCTTCACCTAATTAGAGTGATGATGCAGTCATCAAATAAAGACCTAGGAAAAAATTCCTTGTAAAGTGGAAAATATTGCATATTAATAATAGAGATTTTAAGGTTTAGTCCTCTTTGTAACACTCTTGTCAGAAAACCTTAGAGTAAATGGACTTTTCCCTTTTTATGAGAATTCTTGGAAAAAAAGAAAAATGAGTCTCGAAACTAAAAAGAGGTACAGAATAGAAGCGGGGTGGGGGGAGATAAAGAAGAAAAAACAAGTACCAGAACGTCAGGTAGTTGTTTACTTACATACACCACTGAAAAGATTCCACTGTGCCTCTTTGTTTTAACTCCAAACAGGTATTTTAACATAGAGGTGAAGACATGCACGGCTGCTGCGGTGGTAAACCCGCGGACCAGAGGCTCTGTGAGATATATGGCCACAAATCCAAACCTACAGACACCTAGGCAAAACTATTTTTTTAATGACAAAGAAAAAAATAAATCACATGAAAGTTCAGGAAGTTATGACCCACAGCAAATATACAAGTTATTTCTGGACCATTTTCTTTTCTTTCTTTTTTTTTTTTTTGAGATGGAGTCTTGTTCTGTCACCCAGGTGGGAGTGAAATGGTATGGTCTCGGCTCACTATAACCTCCGTCTCCCGGGCTCAAGCAGTTCTCCTGTCTCAGCCTCCCGCGGAGCTGGGATTATAGGTGCGTGCCGCCACACGTGGATAATTTTCGTATATTTAGTAGAGACAGGGTTTCACTATGTTGGCCAGGCTGGTCTCAAACTCCTGATCTTGTGATCTGCCCACCTCTGCCTCCCGAAGTGCTGGGATTACAGGCGTGAGCCACTGCATCCAGCCTCTGAACCATTTTCTAACACTGCAAACTGGTATCTGAAGTGGGTAAGTAGCGACCAAATCAATTACTGGTTATACAGAAAACAATGGAAGGTCTGGAGTGGCTTGGTGCCCCACAGTGCATTGGCCACACTAACGCCGTCCCTCTCCCATGGAGCTGGGGGCATGCTTCACCATGTACACTGAAGTGCATGATCATGATCACTGGATATTTCTTCCAAGCAGAGAGGAATGTCCTCTCCCAGCACTAATCAATCCTGCTGTGTCAAGCTTGTCTTGCTTTTGGGGTCTTTAAAGCACCCACCTGAAGACTGCTTGATGGTCACTCACAGTTGTGAATAAGGCATGCGGTTGGTCTGCAGTTACTCCCAGAGCTCTGGAGTTTTGATGGCTGACCCTGCCCACCGCTTAGTAAAACCAAACAAGAGCACTCAGTAGATACTTGTTAGGTTAACAAATGAGACAGTCCATTTCCCCATCTTTGAGTGTTACCTGAATGATTCCTGAAAGTAAGGTCACAGACATGGCGACTTTCACTCTCAAGGCGTCTCTGGCTTCTGTGCCATTGGTTGCGTTTACTCCTCCTGGAATGACTATATCATCTGGTACTAATCGAACAGCCACACCACCAATCATCAGGCTAATAACAGCAAAAGGACCTGAAATAATAAAGCATGAAGATCCCTGTTCAGGGTTCAAGGACACTAATTCATAGCATCTGATGTGCTTTTTGCCAGTATACCAAGAGACACAGGTGAGGTCAAGAAGCCATGCTTGAAAGAAGACCACACTCCCTACTTTGGAGTCCTGCCCTGGGGTGTGAGAGCAATGTGTGTGTGTATATGCAGACTATATTTTCCAAAAGTAGCCAAAACAATATCTTCCATACACATATTCTTCTTGACATTTCCCCATCAAGATGTGGAGTCTAATTTTTCTCTCCTTGAATTTGGGTTGGCTTTGACTTGTTAGTAATCAAAAGGATGCAGCAGAAGTGACATTGTGTGATTTCCGAGGCTAGGTAATAAAAGGGCTGCAGCTTCCACCTGAAAGCTGTGATACTTCTGCTGAAGCTCTGAGTCACCATGTGTAAGAAAGCTCCAACTAGGCCAGGTGGAGAATTCCTGGGACTACATGCAGAAAGGAAGGCAGGGAAGAGGGAAGGGAGGGAGGAAAAAGGGAGAGAGGAAGAATTATCTAGACCAGCCCTTCCCAAGTCCTCACCTGCAGTTACTATGGAAGATACTAACATGATTGTTGTTGCAAAGCTGCTACATTTTGGGGGTATTTGTTGCCCAAAAGTAGATATCTGGAATGTGTGTGAGAGTTTGGTTGTAGCCTTAAGCAGCACCAGAACTATTATGAAATCTATGTGCCTCTGATAAACTAAAAAGAAAATATGTACAATTCAGAGCCCCAAATATGACAAAAATGAAATACATGCAAAGTGATTAGGAACTTGAAATACTACCACTAGTATAAAAAGAAAAACCAGATGCTGGCAAATTACATCATGAAATCAAGCATTTATCTCATTTCACAGATTTCAACAATTGCCCTTTTACACAAGAAAATTATGTTTTATTATCCCAAGATTATAAGAAAGTTGAAGCTCTAAAAATCTTGGGAGGAGTGGGTCTTTTTTTTTTTTTTTTTGACAGAGTTTCGCTCTGTTGCCCAAACTGGAGCGCAGTGGTGTGATCATGGCTCACTGCAATCTCTGCCTCCTGGGTTGAAGCGATTCTGTTGCCTCAGCCTCTGGAGTAGCTGGAATTACAGGTGCCTGTCACCTGGCCTGGCTAATTTTTGTATTTTTAGTAGAGATGGGGTTTCACCATGTTGGTCAGGCTGGTCTTGAACTCCTAACCTCAGGAGATCCACCCGCCTTGGCCTCCCAAAGTGTTGGGATTACAGGCGTGAGCCACCACACCTGATCAAGTGTAGGTTTTTAAAGCACCTACTGTATATGCAGTAACAAAAGTTGTTATTAAGCCAATTTTTAATAATGACCATGCTATTTCTTTGGCACATTGCAAAGGTTGGAAATCCACAAGGAAAGGTATTAGAATATCAAGTATAAGCTTTTACCTATGGATATGTGTCTGGAGGTTCCAAAAAAACAATACATGATAACAGGATAAAATGAAGAGTACAAGCCAAATATCGGAGGCACAGCTGCCAGCATTGCAAAGGCTAAGCCTGTGGGATTAAAAACCGAACAGAAATGGGAGATCATTAGAAGACAGGGGGTTTACATGTACTTTTCTCTTGGTTCTTTATTTCTGATGAACAGTGAAGCCCATCTTAATTTAAGCTGCAATCTGCCCTACCCCAATCCTGCACATCATCTTACCTCGGTGCTAATACAGTCCAGGCTGAGAGTTTCCACTGTCATCTCCTTTTTGCCAGTGGGTGATTTTTTTTCTGGTTTATTCTTCCACAAATTAGATAAAGACAGAAAAAAGTCTCATCTTAGTGGGTGCCACTGTGATTTGGTGTTGATGCACAAATGTGAGCTCTTTCTCTAATAGGGTGTTTTTGTAGGTTCTCTAGAGACCCCTTTGCAATAAGGGCCTCCCAGTTACTATGCCCTAATCTATGTAATGCTCCTTCCTCCTGACTCTTAGATATTCCCCCCTCCGACTCTTGTCAGAAGGTACAGCCTTCTAGGTCCTTTCGGCTGGCGTATACTCATCGTGTAGGCAATCTTCCTGGGCAAGTACCTATCAAATGAGCCAAGCCTCGTTACCTTCCAGGATGCCCAGCTATCCAATGGGAAAGCTTGGCATTTTAACCCAAGGAACTTTGGAAGTAGAGGTCACACCATCTAAAGGAGTCTTTCCCTCACTCTGCTGTCCTAGGTAGTTCACACCATCCTTTAGATATTTTTTTAAAAAATAGACTTCTTAAGATCAGCTTTAGATTCACAGCAAATTGAGCAAAAGATACAGAGGTTTTCTATATATCCCATCCTTACGCACAGCCTCCCCCACAATCAACATCCCCCACCAGAGTGACACATGCGTTACAAGTGATGAATCTACACTGACCTACCATTATCACCCAAAGTCCATAGTTTACATTAGGTTTACTCTTGGTGTGGTACAGTCTATGCAAATGTACAATGACAGGTAGCCACTATGATAGTATGATATAAAGTACCTTTACTGCTCAGAAATTCTCTGTGCTCTATTCATCCTTTCCTCCGCCATCCCCTGGAAACTCATGATCTTTTTGCTGCTTTCATAGTTTTGCCATTTTTTTTTAGAGACAGGGACTTGCTCTGTCACCCAGGCTGGAGTGCAGGGGAATGCTCACAGCTCATAACAGCCTCAACCACCCAGGCTCAAGTGATTCTCCCACCTCAGCCTCCCTAGTAGTTGGGACTACAGGTGTGCACCATCGTGCCTGGACAATTTTTGTAGAGACAGAATTTCCCCATGTTTTCCAGGCTGGTCTTGAACTCCTAGGCTCAGGCAATCTGCTCATCTCGGCCTCCCAAAATGCTGGGATCACAGGCATGAGTCACTGCCCCTGGCTAGTTTGGCCTTTTGAGTATCATTCAGTTGGGATTACACAGTGTTAAGCTACATCAGGTTGACTTATTTCACTTAGTAATATGCATTTAAGGTTCCTTCATGTCTTTTCATGGCTTGATACCTCATTCCTTTTTAACACTGAATATATTTCATTGTTTGGATGTATCACGGTTTATTTATCCATTCGTCTACTGAAGGCCATCTTGACTGCTTCCAAGGTTAGGCAATTATGAATAAAGCTGTTATAAACATCCAAATGCAGGTTCACTTGAAAAACTTAATTTTTTAGAGCAGCTGGACGTTTTCATGCAAGAATTAGGCAGCAGTCTCCACAAACTCCAGGGGGCGCTGTTCAGCGCTGAGTAGCTTTCTTGTAGTCATTCCTTACTTGACTGCAGGTGAAAGGAAAATGGTTTGGGGTTTTAACCTCTCCCTGGAAAATTCTCATTCCCAATCAGTCTCCTCGTTCCCTGATATATTCTGTTAAAGTGACACACTCAAGAGAGCCTGGGTCATTCACTCATAGTTTGGCATAGATAGACTGGCATGCCTCTTCAGAATGTGTAGGCAATCAGCACCCTTTGTTTTCAGCTTGAGGGGCTCAGCCAGATTTCTGGGACAATTAGAAAATTCATTAAATGCACTGTTATGCTGTGGAGAAAACAGCTTTAGCAAAAGAAGAGTTGAGAAAGCATCCTAACTTCATGTATAAGATAACATGGTCACTCAAAGGTTCTTTTTTTAAAAAAATTTATTTCTAGCAGATAAATGCATGCATATGATTTAAAAAGCCAAGCAGCTGTCAAAGGCTCTCTGGAAAAGCCAGCTCTTTTCTGCCGCACCCCTCTTCCTCCAGGTTTTGCTCCTCAGAGGCAATCACTTCCAACTCTTTTAGCTGTTTTTCTCTATTTACCTCCATTTTCCTAAATCAGCATTCTGAAAGGAGAGCACTCCCCCTGCCCCCACTTCTGGCAGGAGACATTTGTGTTTTATTTTTCATTTCATGTTTTTATTTTTCATTTATTCTGCTGGGTATTCCTCTCAGTCTGAAAACAAGTACTTCAATCCTGGGGATTACTCTTTGACCATTTCTTCCCTTCTGTTGACCCTCTTCTTTCTGTCTTAGTCTCATCAATAAACAAAGAGAGCCAGTAAACATGAAGCTTCAAGAGAGACCAAACCATACCCAAAAAAGAATTCATCAAGAACAGAAATAACAGGGCAAAATTAAAAACTTTAAAACTATTGTATCCTTGAAGAGTTATAAAAAAAATATTGAGGCCGGGTGCAGTGGCTCACGCCTGTAATCCCAGCACAGAGTTAGACATATGATGGGACATCAGGCTTGATCCTCTGGTGTTCTCATGTTTTCTCTCTTTCTGTCTTTTTCTTCTACTTCCAGGAGATTTCCTCTACTTTATCTTCCAATCTTGACTAAATATTTTATTCCTACTATCATATTTTTAATTTCTATGAGCTCTTTCTTGTTCTCTGAATGCTCTTTTCAAAATAACATCCTGTTTTTGTTTCACAGATTCAGTTTTTGTTTTTTTTTTTTTTTTTTTGAGAGAGTCCTGCTCTATTGCCAGGCTGGAGTGCAGTGGTACTATCTGGGCTCACTGTAAACCTCTGTCTCCCAGGTTCAAGCAATTCTTCTGTCTCAGCCTCCCGAGTTGCGGGGACTACAGGCGTATGCCACCACACCCAGCTAATTTTTGCATTTTTAGTAGAGACAGGGTTTCACCATACTGGCCTGAATGGTCTTGATCTCTTGATCTCGTGATCTGCCACCTTGGTCTCCCAAAGTGCTGGGATTACAGGCGTGAGCTACCGCGCCCAGACTCAACTTTTTTTTTAAATAACTCTTCAAGGATACAACAGTTTTAAAGTTTTTAATTTGACCTGTTAATTTCTGTTCTTGATGAATTCTTTTTTGGGTATGGTTTGGTCTCTTTCTTTTTTTTTTTTTTGAAATTTAAAGAAAAAATTTATTGAAGATATGAAAAACAATTCCTAAAAGATTGAATTTTCCAGAAAACTAGCTACACAATGCATTGCATCTATCATGTTAAAACGTGCATTAGACACAAATACAAAAACCATGAAACAAGCCACCATTCTTCAACAATTTGAGCAAAGATAAAGTGCCTAAGTAACAACATGGATGACTTGCAAAGGATGGGCTCTTTACTTTAAGCACCAGTAAAATAAAAAAAAAAGGAGCACAAATGGATGAGTGTGTTCAGTTATATACACTGAATTGAACCTTTGGCACTAGGAATCAGAGCATTTTGTCATATAGCATTAACACGTATTATAAAAGTGCGTAGTGTCAAAGGAATAGAACCACCAGCATTCAAAAGCAGCTTTGTCAACTAGGCAATAAAACAGCATATCCCTCTGTTGTCCATCATCGAATACACTGGCAGCAACTTTAAAAAAAAAAAAAAGAAAAAAAAAAAAAAGAAAAGACAAAAGGAGCTATTACCCCTTTTATTTTCTCTGTTTAAAATCAAACAGAAAACAAACATCAATTGTTATACACTAACATCTTCAAAGCACATTGTTTGTACAAGAGATAGACTAAGAACAAAAATGTGTTTACGGAGATCCAAACGTGAGTGAGTGAGAGCGCCTCTCACACAGCTTTCTGATGGTACTCAGGAGGAGCCACTTCATAACCACTGGCACTAAACAAAGTTGCAGAATTCTTTGCCAGATACTTTAGGAAATCGTGAAGATAATTCAGTAATAAAGCAAGGCTTTTCTCATCCAGAGGTGTATAGGCCAGCATTGCTCCAATTCATACAAATAGTCTCAGTGGATGTGGCGCTCCATACACCTGGGACATGGGTGCATCAGGGTGATCTGCAAGAATTTTGGCATACTGTGGTCTCTCAAATTTGTAGAGTAGCTGGGTACCCAACATTACATTGAAGTATTCTTTTATCCCTGCCACAACTTCATTAACCGCATACTCCTTATTATCTGTGTTTCCACGAGATTTCTTGTAATTTGCATAATCCTCAAGAATGGAATCCACATTCTTCTTGGCAGGAAGATAAAAGAGCTGCTTTTGCCTGATAATTAAGTCCCAGTCATCAACAAGCCACAGTTTTAGTTCTTCAGGAATCTTTAACTTCAACTCTGTTCATGAATGTTTCCTTATTTTCAACAGTAGGATCTACCCGGGCCTTTTTCTTCTGAGGAGGCTGAGGGATCTCACTGGTACTGCCACCATCTCCATTTCCAGGTGTTTTCTGTTTGTTCTTTTTTGTTTTCACTTCAACATTTTTCCGTTGCAGACCAGATGTCTTCTTTCCTGGGGCAGCCCCTCTCATCTTCCCCTCTGCATACTGCTCCTGATTGGCTTTTTGAAGTTCTCGCTGTTTCCGCAAATTGGTGTCCACATATTTGAGTACTCGGCTCTCCGGAACCCACTCATCCCAATTTTTATTCCAACCACTGTAATGTATGAAGTATTTCACTTGTTTGTCCTTTATGACAACCTTTACACACTTTGCTTCATACAGAAGAGGCCCATGAAAGCACAGCACTCACTCACCCTCCTGGAATTTAGCTGGTCTCTTTCTTGAAGCTTCATGTGTACTGGTTCTCTTTGTTTACTGATGGGCCTTACTGGAGGACAACTGGATGGGCAGCCAGCAACTTCACTGGGGGGATCCCCAGCTTGTCACTATACATCTTTTGGAGGTCACCATCTGCTTTGGGCTGTAAGTTTTTTTTGCAGGCACTTTGAAGCAAAGTTTAGCAAGGGAACAGCCTTTGTTGGCTCACAGTTCAGTGTGCAGACTTTTACTTAACCTTCCTGGCATCTCTTGGTATTTTTCTCCTACCATCCACTGCATCATGTAGGTGTGGGGACCAGAGTGTATTGATGCTACTGATTACAAAAACTTGGAACCAGTTCCCTTGCTTTTAGCCTTCTGCCTGACTCTCAGCTTTCACAATATTTGGAGCCTCCAATTTCCCAGTGTTTTGTAGTGTATGTACCTACATTTCAGCTTCCCCTACTCCAGCAATTCAGCTGCCACTTGTTCATCTGCTTGCTATATATATTTTTCCCTCTCTCATATTCTCCATCCTTGCTGGTTTATACCATTTCCCCCTCTTTTATTGTCATTTTAGAGGGATTTTTAAGACAATTAGAGATAAGAGCATACTTTCACTTTGCTATGCTTAACACAAAATCTTTTTGTTAATTTAAATTATTTATCAATCACAGGAAATGTATTTACTTTCTCTTAGATCTCTATCTTTGCTATATTTTGTTTTACAAATTTATCTATCTTCATTTATTAATAGTGAGCAGAAAAATACCTCTGCAATACAAATTTGAGTGTGGGATGATCTGTGCCTCTCAGAAGTGTTCTACCTACTGAATTATTCCCTGACTTGAAATGATTTCTTGCTTACTGTAATAATGTACACACTCCTGGTTTTCCTTTCCAGATTCTTTTCTATCTCTTCTGCTGGCTCCTCCTTCTGTATTTAGTCTTTCATGTTGGACAGAGCTTGATCTTAGCTCCCGTCTCTTTTCACTCCACTTTATCTCCCTAGGTACCCTGGTCTATTGCCATGGTTTAAATGCTTTCTGTAGGTCAAAGATTCCACAGTTGATATCTCTAGCCCCTATCTCTCTTTTGTGCTCACCATATATTAAATACAAACATGAAATATCTACTTGTCTATCTCACAAGCATCTCAAATTTAACATAATCAAACTTACTCTTCAATCCTATTTCTGTCATCTTTTTAAAAATTATTTTTATTTTTTGAGACTGAGTCTCACTCTGTCACCCAAGCTGGGGTGCAATGGCATGACCTCAGCTCATTGCAACCTCCATCTCCCAGGTTCAAACAATTCTCCTGTCTCAGACTCCCAAGTAGCTAGGACTTCAGGCGTGTGCCACTATGCCTGGCTTAGTTTGTATTTTTAGTAGAGATGGGGTTTCACCATGTTGGTCAGTCTTGAAGCCCTGGCCTCAGGTTATCCACCCACCTTGGCCTCCCAAAGTGCTGGGATTATGGGCATGAGCCACCGTGCTCAGCCCTGTCATCTTTCTTACGTCTGCAATTAGCACCCCCATCCCTCAGGTGTTTGAAACAGCAAGTTGGAAGTCATTCTCGACCATCCCTCTTCTTCACCAGCCCCACACATCCAACCAATCAGCCCAGCTGCCTTAAAACTATTCTTGACACACCCTCCCCCTTCTTTCTAAATTAATCCAACAGCCAGTCTTGCTGATCTTACCTACAAAATATATCATATGTCTTTCCAATTCTTTCCATTCTAATGGCCACCATTCTAATTCAAGATGGAGGAAGGTCAGCTGGTTGAAAATAGGTTTGTGGAATGACTGTGAAAACTCAACTGGGCAGAAACCCATGAAGTTCTTCGAGTGTGAGCATGGGTGATTGATGGCAGTCACTCCTTCAGCTCCATCAGTCCAGCTTGACTGAATGTCAGTTTGGCTTCTGCTTCCTGTTTGGGATACCGAGCCCTTATCTGCTCCTCACCCTGCCCTTGCCCTGACTTTGAATCTGTCCCTTTCTCTATTCTTGAGGCAATGACACCAAAATGATTGCAGAAATCTGTCCCAAATCTGCTTTAAGATTTTGTAAAATAGATTTAATAAATATGGCAAATCAGTCACTTGGAAAATACAAAGCTCAGCTAATTGATCAATTATGGGAAGTGATATTTTTGACAAATTAAATTTTTGGAAACTGGCTAGCAGGGAATTGATTTTTGGCCAGCTGACCTAGAGCTGTTCAAGCCATTACCACCTTTGCTTAACATGAGCTGCTGTCACCTCTACCTGGTCTCCTCACATCCAGTCTGGTGCCCCTCCCAGCACCCAAATCCACTCCCCCCACAGCAGTCTCAGTGACCTCTTACAAAGTGATATGGTTTGGCTGTGTCCCCACCCAAATCTCATCTTGAATTGTAGTTCACATAATTCCCATGTGTTGTGGGAGGCACCCAGTGGGAGGTAATTGAATCATGGAGGTGGGTCTTCTCGTGCAGTTCATGTGATAGTGAGTAAGTCTCACAAGATCTGATGATTTTTTAAAGGGCAGTTTCCCTCCACATGCTCTCTCTTGCCTGCCACCATGTAAGATGCGACTTTTTTTTTTTTTTTTTTTTGAGACGGAGTTTCGCTCTTGTTACCCAGGCTTGAGTGCAATGGTGTGATCTCGGCTCACCGCAACCTCCACCTCCTGGGTTCAGGCAATTCTCCTGCCTCAGCCTCCTGAGTAGCTGGGATTACAGGCATGCGCCACCATGCCCAGCTAATTTTTTGTATTTTTAGTAGAGACGGGGTTTCACCATGTTGACCAGGATGGTCTCGATCTCTTGACCTAGTGATCCACCCACCTCAGCCTCCCAAAGTGCTGGGATTACAGGCGTGAGCCACCGCGCCCAGCCAAGATGCGACTTTGCTCGTTTGCCTTCCGACATGATTATGAGGGCTCTGCAGCCACATGGAACTGTGAGTCCATTAAACATCTTTTTCTTTATAAATTAACCAGTCTCAGGAATGTCTTTATTAGCAGCATGAGAAGACTTATATACAAACAAAGCCTAAATACAAAGTAATACAGATAGCTTTTCACTGAACTCAGAATGAAATCCAAAAAGGGTCTAAGAAGACTCTGCAGGCCTGCCTCTGCCCACCTCACCCGCCACTGCTCCCTCACACTCCTAGAACACAGCTTTTCCATTCATTCTTTGTACCACACCCAATTTTTTTCAGCACCTTCACACATACTATTCTTTCTGCCTGAAATGCATTTCCTCTCATTGCTGACCTGTCTCAGGTCTCAGCGCAAACCTCATTTCCTATATTCACTAATTTTTTTTTTTTTAAATGGAATCTTGCTCTGTCACCCAGGCTGGAGTACAGTGGCACGATCTCAGCTTGCTGCAACCTCCACCTCCAAGGTTCAAGCGATTCCAGGCTCAGCCTCCTGAGTAGCTGGGATTACAGACACATGACACCACGCCTGGCTAATTTTTGTATTTTTAGTAGAGACAGGGTTTCACCATGTTGACCAGGCTGATCTCAAACTCCTAACCTCAAATGATCCCCTCACCTTACCCTTCCAAAGTTCTGGGATTACAGACATGAACTACCACAGGCTGGCCCTAGATCCACTATTCTTATTACACAATACCTTCTCTTTTCCTTCATCGTGCTTATCATTGTAATGAAAATTTTTATATGTGCTTTTTTCTACTTAGCATCTCATCCCTTTATTGGATGGTTAGTTAGCTCCATGAGGACAGGGAGCCAGGTAGGTGCCTAACAGACACGTACTGTTTAGAATACATGAATAAATTAATTAAGTTAATGAATATTTTCTTGAGTTCTTAAATCACATATAAAATCAGAGTTGCTGCAATATGCTAAAGGAATTTAGCTTATCATGGTCCCTCGTAATTAGAATATGAACTCGGAAGCCACAAACCTTAACAACAACCACAACAGCAAAATGATTCTTGAGTGACTGAGTTAGCAAGTGGTAAGAAAATGCCCAACCAGTGTATTGATCTGCAAAATAGTATCACCATTTTCTACTATTAACATCTTTGGAGCTTTTTTTTTTTTTTTTTTTTTTTTTTTTTTTTTTTTTTTTTTTTTTTTGAGACAGGGTCTCACTCTATCTCCCAAGCTGGAGTGCACTGATATACTCATAGCTCATTACAGCCTTGAACTTTGGGGCTTAAACAATCCTCCTATATCAGCCTCTTGAGTAGCTGAGACTACAGGCATGCCCAGCTATGTTTTGTTGTTGTTGTTGTTGTTGTTTTGTAGAGACAGTGTCTCACTTTGTTGCCCAGGCTGGTCTCCAACTCCCATCCTCAAGTGATCCTCCTACCTTGGCCTTCCAAAGTGCTGGGATTACAGGTTTAAGGATTAAATGTTTGAAGGATACCTTTAGACAGGTAAAGGTTACTAGAATTATATATAAAAACTATGAATTTGCAATCCTGATTAAATAAACAGAAAGAAGGCCAAGCAATTGTTTGAGGACAGCAAGTGTGGAAATAAAGAAAGAAAGATCTTCTACTAACCTTGAGGAAGCTGAAGCACCCCTGTGCTTATGCCTGAGACCAAGTCACCCAACACATATTCCTTGAATTTGTATGCTGGCAGCCATTTAGTTATGGGTAGGAACATATAAATAATATTTCTTATTTTTTTAGGAGTGCACCTGAAAGGACAAAGACAGAGGTCAAGTTATAAATGAGAAACATCTCTATAGAATTCAAACCAAGGCATTTTCCCTTTCTAATTCCCAGGGGCAATCTGAAAGAATTTCCAATTAGTGATTCAGGATGTTGCCAAACAGGGGAGGTGTCAGGGGTGGGGAAAAAAAGAGAAGGTAGCTGAAATATTCCTAGGAAACAAAAGGTATTTTGAAGGTGAGTGGAGAATTGGAAAGCGTGTTGGTTATGTTAATATTTACACAGACAAAAGGCATAGGAGGAATTCAATCAATATAGTGAAATTTCATGATGAAGCCTGTGTGCAAATATCTGATGCTGGCTGAATCTCGTGAACAGCTTTGCAAACCATGATGGCTCGGTATTCATTTTGTTCCTCTGCTTCGCCAAACAGATTTTCTTTACACATTTGACCTTCCACCTCTCATAACTGAATGACACAACAACAGAACCAGGTTAAAATGCAACATACGTGAATGCCTGTTTCAGCTTATCCCCAATGGAATCTGGAATCTTATCCTTTTGGTGTAGTCTTTCCTGGAGAACCGGATGACTAAAGATAGGCCTTTCCACATAGTACCTCTGGGTTGCTGCAAGGATTTCATTTTCTTCAGCATGATCCATAGTACTCTGAAATTATTCATTCACAGCAGGAGACAAGCATTTCCTGAGTGTCACTAAGGAAAAAAGAAAAACTCCATGTTACATGCCAAAATCCTACTGACACCTTTTCCTAATCATCTCTTCCTCACGGTGCTCGAAGTCCTTCTGAGGCTGTCTTTGGACACCCCAGAGCACATCATGTATTGATCTGTATATAGGAGACAGTAATTAATGAAATAAAATCAAAATCAATTAAAAAAATAAACGTGACTTATTCCCTCCCAGGGCAATAAGTGGTTAATGTATAGACTTTTAACAAAAGCTCATATTAAGTTCAATGGCTAAATACTACAGTCAGTTGCCTCTAGGTCCATATAAGAGGAATTGCAAATCAGGTCAGTATTGACCAGCTATATGTCAAGGAAACAGAAAAAAAGAGTATGATCAGTCCTTAAATTGACTCCATGTTTCTTAAAGCTATATTAGCCTCCTTTTCAATTCTATATTTACGGTTGATTATTCTTTAAATTATTCTATGATTCAGAGCTGGGGTTTATATGTGTCTATGAGGGAAGCTGCTGGTGACCGTTGTGAAAGGCAGTAAGTTAAAAACATCAGCACACTATTCTAGTACTGTTTTGAAGTTGATTACATTGTCATGTGTTTGATTAGAATGAAGTTAGTTTTTTTCATGCCTACATAGTGATAATACTTATATGAGTACAAGAAATGATTAAAGAATAAAAATACAACATATTTGTGCATATGGAGATGTGTATAAGAATGTTTGCCACAGCCTTATATGAGTGAAAAGTTGGAAAAAATCTAAATGTCTACTCATATGCAGTAAAAAATACATTTTGCTATATTCATAAATTTAATTCTAATAAAAAGAAATGCACTAAATCTATATGTATCATCTTCAATAAATCTGAGACAATTTTCAGCAAAAAAGTAAGGCACAGATGAATACTGAGAGGATTCAATTATTTAAAGTTTAAAAACATAGAACAATAGCATATGTTATTACACATATTTGTAGTAAAAGTATAAAACCATTCATGACAACAATAAACACCAAGATCAGGATGGTGTTACCTCCAGAGAGAAGAAATAAGACTGAGAAGGGATAGTTGAGGGCTTCTACTAACTGTATCTTCAATGTTTTAGTTTGTTAAAAAGAACTGGCACAATGACAGCAAAAAGTGAAGATTTGATTATACTGCTTAGTAAGTAAACTGGTGTTTGTTCCGCAATTGTTTGTACCTGTCTGTACATTTGAACTATATACCTCATAATAAAACATTAAATGTATAACAACAACTAAAGCCAGTGTTCCCAACTAAAGGAAGTTACTGGCAGAGCAGGCAAAGGTTAATATGAATTCATGGTTAAGTGCTTGTGTGGTGACCACGGAATTGCGAGGGGCTACTAATGTTGGTCAATACAACTCCTTCAGGGTGAAAAATCAAGTTTTCATCAAAATGAAATCACATTCAAATTGAAATAAAGGCTGGGCTGCCGTGGTACACACCTGTAATCCCAGCACTTTTGGAGGCTGAGGTGGGTGGATAACCTGAGGTCAGGCAATCAAGACCAGCCTGGCCAACATGGAGAAAACCTGCCTTTACAAAAAAAAAAAAAAATTAACTGGATGTGGAGGTACACACCTGTAATCTCAGCTACTTAGGAGACTGAGACATGAGAATCACTGAAATCCGGGAGCCAGAGTTTGCAGTGAGCTGAAACTGCACCATTCTACTCCAACCTGGGCAACAAGAGTGAAACTGCATCTCAAAAAAACCAAACCAAACCAAAACAAAACAAATTGAAATCAGGGTTGTATATGATCTACTACAAAATATGATTCAAAATAAATACTTATGTCCAAGGAGGTTGAAAATTCAAGAGCCTATAATAAAAAGAAATGCTAGCAGCAAATGCAACCAAGTACCATCAAGGATGACATTAAAATGCTATGGTTTGACTGTTTTTGTCCTTTTCAAAATTCAGGTTGAAACTTAATCCTCAATACAAGAGTATTACAAGGTGTGGTCCTTAGGAAGTGATTGATCATATGGGCTCCGCAGCCCTCACTAATAGTATTAAGTTACAAAAAGACTAGGCAGAGGGAGTTCACCCCCTTTCATCCCTTCTGTCCCTTCTGCCATGTGAGGGCACAGTGTTCCTCCTCTCCAGAGGATAATGCAATAAGACACTATCTTGGAAGCAGAGAGACCTACCCTCACCAGCTGGTGCCCTGTTTTTGGACTTCACAGCCTCCAGAACTGTGAGAAATAAATTTCTATTGTTTGTAAATTTCTGTGTGTGGTATTTTGTTATAGCAGTTCAAATGAACTAAGAAATGGTAAATCTGGAGAAAGAGAATTTTACAGCAGAACCTGAGAAATAAAGATTATGTGTTTTTTGTTTCAGACTAGCAAGGTGGGTTGGCCACCCCTCATCTAGCTCTTCAGAGCTACTGTAGGAATTCATCAAAATACAATAATGACTGCGCTGAATTAATGAGTGGATTTGACACATCAGAAACCCTACCACTGGCTTCCACTTATCCTAACTCCTCCAGAGCACTACATAACAGCATTATAAAACCATTCATAATCCAGGCAACATACCATGCTGCTTTAAGCCTCTGTGCCTATCCAGAGTTTCAATTCATTCTAATAAGAGATGTCATTTCTTTCCCTTCACTCCTTCCATTTTCCCCACACCCTAACCATTCTATCTTACAAACCCTTGTTCTGTTTTCTGCTTCTTTGTGAAGTCTTCCCTCACTTATACTCTTTTATGAAATGGGCCTATGTTACTTTATATATTCTTTCATTCTTATATTCATATATATATATATATGTATTATTGTACTTTAGGTTCTGGGGTACATGTGCAGAACATGCAGGATTTTTGCATAGGTACATACATGGCAATGTGGTTTGGTGGCTGCCTCCATCCCCCCGTCATATATATCTGGCATTTCTCCTCATGTTATCCCTCCCCAACCTCCCTACTCCCGCTGTCCCTCCCCTACTCCCCCACAACAGACCCTAGTGTGTGATGCTCCCCTCCCTGTGTCCATGTGTTCTCATTGTTCAACACTCGCCTATGAGTGAGAACATGCAGTGTTTGATTTTCTGTTCTTTTGTCAGTTTGCTGACAGTGATGGTTTCCAGATTCATCCATGTCCCTAAAAAGGACACAAACTCATCGCTTTTTATGGCTGTATGGTATTCCATGGTGTAAATGTGCCACAGTTTCCTTGTCCAGTTTGTCATCAATGGGCATTTGGGTTGGAAGGTCTTTGCTATTGTAAACAGTGCCACAATGAACATGCATGTGCATGTGTCTTTATAATAGAATGATTTATACTCCTTTGGATATATACCCAGTAATGGGATTGCTGGGTTAAATGGAATTTCTATTTCTAGGTCCTTGAGGAATTGCCACACTGTCTTCCACAATGGTTGAACTAATTTACACTCCCACAAACAGTGTAAAAGCGTTCCTATTTCTCCACATCCTTTCCAGCAACTGTTGTCTCCAGATTTTTTAATGATCGCCATTCTAACTGGCGTGAGATGGTATCTCAATGTAGTTTTGATTTGCATTTCTCTAATGACCAGTGATGACGAGCATTTTTTCATATGTTTGTTGGCCTCATATATGTCTTCTTTTGAAAAGTGTCTGTTCATGTCCTTTGCCCACTTTTGAATGGTTTTGTTTGTTTTTTTTCTTGTAAATGTTTTAGTTTTTTGTAGATTCTGAATACTAGCCCTTTGTCAGATGGGTAGATTGCAAAAATTTTTTTCCCATTTTGTTGGTTGCCAGTTCACTCTAATGATTGTTTCTTTTGCTGTACAGAAGCTCTGGAGTTTAATTAGATCCCATTTGCCTATTGTGGCTTTTGTTGTCAATGCTTTTGGTGTTTTAGTCATGAAGTCCTTGCCTATGCCTGTGTCCTGAATGATATTGCCTAGGTTTTCTTCTAGGGTTTTTATGGTGTTAGGTCTTGTGTTTAAGTCTTTAATCCATCTGGAGTTAATTTTAGTGTAAGGTGTCAGAGAAGGCCTCGACAAAATTCAACAGCCCTTTATGCTAAAAACTCTCAATAAACCAGGTATTGATGCAACGTATCTCAAAATAGTAAAAGCTATTTATGAAAAACCCACAGCCAGTATCATACTGAATGGACAAAAGCTGGAAGCATTCCCTTTGAAATCTGGCACTAGGCAAGGATGCCCTCTCTCACCACTCCTGTTCAACATAGTATTGGAAGTTCTAGCCAGAGCAATCAGGCAAGAAAAAGAAATAAAGAGTATTCAGTTAGGAAAGGAGAAAGTCAAATTGTTTCTATTTGTAGACGACATGATTGTATGTTTAGAAGACCCCATCATCTCGGCCCAAAATCTCCTGAAACTGATAAACAACTTCAGCAAAGTCTCAGGATACAAAATGAATGTGCAGAAATCACAAGCATTCCTATACACCAATAACAGACTTAAAAAGAGCCAAAAAAGAACCAGCTGTCATTCACAATCACTACAAAGAGAATCAAATACCTAGGAAAACAACTAACAAAGGATGTAAAGGACTTTTTCAAGGAGAACTACAAACCACTGCTCAAGGAAATAAGAGAGGACACAAACAGATGGAAAAACACTCCATGCTCATATTATGAAAATGGCCATACTACCCAAAGTAATTTATAGATTCAACTCTATCGCCATCAAGCTACCTATGACTCTCTTCACAGAACTGGAAAAAACCACTTTAAACTTCACATGGAACCAAAAGACAGCTCGCATAGCCAAGACAATTTTAAGCAAAAAGAACAAAGCTGGAGGCATCACGCTACCTACTTCAAACTATACTACAAGGCTACAGTAATCAAAATAGCATGGTACTGGTACCAAAACAGAGATATAAACCAATGGAATAGAATAGGCCTTGGAGGCAACACCACATATCTACAACCATCTGATCTTTGATAAACCTGACAAAAACAAGCAATGGGGAAAGGATTCACTTTTTAATAAATGGTATTGGGT